GCCCAGCTACCACCAATGACCGCCCTGACAGGGAACACAACAGAGAGTCCCTGATGGAGCAGGAGAAAAGTGGGGTGCAGAACTCAAATTCTAGTACAAAGACTACACTTGATGGTCTGACTGAGACTGGAGAAACCCCAGAAAGCATGACCCCCAGACTGTCTGTCAACTTAGAACTAAAACAATTCCTGAGGCCAACTCTTCAGACAAACATTAGATTGGACTATGGGACATAAAATGATACTCGTGAAGAGCGTGCTTCTTATCTCAAGTAGATACATGAGACTAAATGGGCAGCTTCTGTCCGGAGGTGAGACAAGGCAGAGAGAGTCAGGAGCTGGTTGAATGGACACGGGAAATCCGGGGTGGAAAGGGGGAGTGTGCTGTCACAGTATCGGGAGAGCAATTAGGGTCACATAACAATGTATGTATAAATTTTTGTGTGAGAGACTAACTTGAATTGTAAACTGTCACCTAAAGTACAACAATAAAAAAAAAGAAAGGGGCCGTCCCTGGGGGCTGGGGTGGAGCTGTGGGACAGGATATTTTGAGGAAAGTCCAGTTGTAGAAGTGGTCAGTTTGTTGGTGAATTTACTGTTTCATGTAACTGGGAGCTGGGACAGCAAATATTTGCACTGCAGTCCCTACACCCCACAACCCCTTGTGTCGTATTTAGAGCACAGTCCCTGGAGTTAGTACAACCTGGTTCAAATCCTGGCTCTGCCACTCACGAGCTGTGTGACTTTGGGCAAGTCACTCCCCCTCTCTGAGCCTTCATCTGTGAAGGGGATCAACAGCAGCCTCTGCCTTGCAGGGTGGTGAGGATTTAGTCAGGAGAAACAGTATGAAAAGCACTAAGGAGAATTCCCAGCCCTTAGGAATCGCTCTGTAAATATTTTTGTTAGTTGCCATTGAGTAGACCCTGGCTCATGACGACCCTATGCGCAATGGAATAAAACACCATCCCTATAAATGGTTGCAGATTGGACCGTTGTACTCAACCAGGTTTTCATTGGCTGATTTTCAGAAGTAGGTTGCCAGGCCTTTCTTCTGAGTTGCCTCTGGGTAGACTCAAACTTCCAATCTGTAGGTTAGCAGCCAAGCTTGTTGACCGTTTACACCACCCAGGGACTTTGTAAATATTAGCTGTTACTATTTCATCTTTATGTTCTAAAACGTAAAATTCTGGGGCCTATGGAGGTGTTAGGTGTTCCACCCCGTTTTTCTGGGTGTCTTCTCTGGTTCACCCAGAGCCTGCGGGTGACAAGCACAGATGGTGGGGAGCGCTCTTGGCTCCGTCAGGAGCTTCTCACTCTGCTGACCGCCCTCCTTGTCTCTCAGGTACCATCGCCTACCTCTTCTTCACCAACCGCCATGAAGTGAGGAAGATGACACTGGACCGCAGCGAGTACACCAGCGTCATCCCCAACCTGAAGAATGTGGTCGCCCTGGATGCAGAGGTGGCCAGCAACAGAATCTACTGGTCTGACCTGTCCCAGAGGAAGATTTACAGGTGAGCCCTGCCCCGCGCACGCCCCGGCTCCTGGTGAAGTGAGGGCCCGTGGCCTGACGTCACCTCTCCTCCCTCTGCAGCACCCAGATCGACAGAGCCCACAGCTTCTCCTCCTACGACACTGTCATCAGCAGGGACCTGCAGGCCCCCGACGGGCTGGCCGTGGACTGGATCCACGGCCACATATACTGGACCGACTCTGTCCTCGGCACCGTCTCGGTGGCTGACACCAAGGGTGTGAAGAGGAAAACGCTATTCAAGGAGAAAGACTCGAAGCCCCGGGCGATTGTGGTGGACCCCACTCACGGGTGCGTATTTCCAAAGCTAAGGAGTGCAGCCGGGAGGAAGGGCACAGGGGAGGGGCTCAGGAGCCAGTTGGGACTCAGGAGGTGGACTGAGCGGGAGTCAGCTGTCCCACACCACAGAGAGGAGGTGGCAGCTGGGGCTTGTGCTCTCGGAAAACAGTAAAAACCAGTAAACCAGTTGCCGTTGGATCGACTCTGACTAGTGGCAACCCATGTGTGTGCGAGTAGAACCATGCTCCATAGCGTTTGCAGTGGTTGACTTTTTGGAAGTAGATTGCCAGGCCTTTCTTCCAAGGTGCCTTTGGGTGGACTCAAACCTCCAACCTTTTGGTTAGCAGCCGAGTGCGTTAACCACTTACACCACCCAGAGACTCCTCGGAAAACAGTAGGAACCTGAAGTGTGGGGCTTCCCCAGTGCAATTTGGGAGCCATGACGTTCAGATCTCTCTTGGTGTCTAAAAGCGACAGGGAGAAATCCTGCCCTCGGGATAAAAATTCACAACTAGAAATTAAAGTACAAACAGCCAGGGTAGGATTGGAGGAAGGTGAAAATACGTGGGGCCTCCGTTGCTGACTTGACAGTTGAGTTTTGTGAGCCTGTTTCACGCAAGCCCGGGGCTGTGATGGTGAGCGGGAGCCGAAGGCCAGTGCCCTCGGGGCTGACTCAGCAGTTCCATGGCCCCATCTCAGTGTCCCCACCCTCTTCCTGTGTACTCTGCACCTGTCAGGCCACGTGGGCAGCCTCAGCACATCAGATGTGGAATTTTACAATTTCAGAGGAGCCTTTACAAACCCTGGCGGGCAGCTGGTCCTGGCAGCAACAGTTGGGGGGCGGGGGTTGGTCTAGGGGAGCTAACACTGGGAGGAGTATTTGGCCTTGGGGAGTGAACACGGTGGGGGAGCAGTTGGCCTGGGGAGGTGAACACGTTTGGGGGACGTTAGGGGAGCATTGGCCTGGGGGAGCTAATGTAGGGAGTGAACGCTGGAAAAGGCACATGTGGCCATCCTCATGTAGAGTCCTAGAGGGAAGGGAAGGGAGCATAACAATCCTGAGGGAGAAGAGTGGCTGGCGATGAGGGCCGGGGCCCCTGTTGAGCAAGACAAATGCTCGAGGATGTTGAAGAAGCCTTTCCATGGTTGGAGGGACATGCTGCCCAGTGAGTTTCCACACAACTGCCAGGAGAGGGAGATTCCCAGAATATCGCTCAGATCCAGGGATGGGAGGGCCACGTGCACACTGTTCTCTGCCGGCTCTTTCGTTTCCATGTACAACGTGATTTGTTGGCTGGATGGGCCGCGATTTATTTCACTAGTTCCCAGTGCTTTTCCTGCCTCACACAAAGCGGCCAGGAATACCTTTGAAACTTGAGTTTTCGTAGTTCTTCCGCAGGATAGATTTCTAGAGGTTGGATGCTAGGTCAGAGGGTGTATACGTTGACATATTGCCAAATTGCCCTTCAAAACACACATTGTAGGACCTGCTCTCCCACTACAAGTGGATGTGATGGCCCGTTCCCCACAACATGTCTTCAGTCTTTGCTGACATCCTGAGTATAGTTTTAAGTTGGATTTGTTTACGTGTGAGTCAGTCTGAGCACTGTGTCATTGGTTTCAGAGCCGCCTGGAGAGCAGTGTTTTAGGGGCAGCTCCCAGGGCCCCAGGCCCGGCCTTTAGGATCAGAATCTCCCCTCACTCTTTCGGGCTCTAAATTCTCACCAGGTTCCAGGTCCGGGGCAGGCAAGGTTGGGGAAGCAGAAAGAGCATGTTCCTTGTCCCCACCCGGTGACCAGTTCTGAGCCTCCCCTGACGTGTGTTTTTATGCCCTATTCTCCCTGTTCTCCCGCTAGCTTCATGTACTGGACGGATTGGGGAACCCCCGCAAAGATCAAGAAAGGGGGCCTGAACGGCGTAGACATCTACTCGCTGGTGACAGAAGACATCCAGTGGCCCAATGGCATCACCCTGGGTATGGTGGTGGGACGGCCGTCCCTGCCGTGGTCGGGCACAGGCTAAGGGTTCAAATCGGCTTCTGGAGAAGAGAGGGAGGCCAGGCAGTTCCTGAATAAGCACCTGCAGCTCCCTGGGGGTGTTTTCTGTTTTGTTTTCTTTTTTTATTTAGTTGGTATGTCCCTTAAGTCTTTTTTTTTTTTGTGATAAATATATACATAACTAAATATTTGACATCTCAACAATCCTCACAGTTCAGTGGCATTAATTTTGTTCATCGTGTTATTCAACTATCACCCTTAACTGTTCCCAGATTCCCTAAGGTTTTTTGGTTTTTTAATATTTTATTGTGGTTTTTGGTGAAAGTTTACATAGCAAATTAGGTTCCCATTTAACAATTTCTGTACATATTATTCAGTGACATTGGTTACATTTTCCACATTGCGTTAACGTTCTCATTGTTTCTGTTCTGATTGTTCCGTTTCCATTAATCTAGCTTCCCTGCCTTCCCCCGCCCCACCCCAACCTTCTCATCTTTGCTCTAGGGTAAATGTTGACCCTTTGGCTCATATAGATTTTTTTTTTTTTTTTAAGGAACATAGTACTCACAGGTGATATTGCTTATTTTATGAGCCAATCTGTTATTTAGCTGTGTCCTCGGGAAGTGGTTTCAGTTCAAAGTTTAAAGGGTCCCCTGAGGTTTTTATAACCCACAACTAAACCCATTCCCCAGCTGGGAAAGTGTCATGGTGGAGAGGTGGAGACAACGGGGCAAAAAGCTGCAGCATGTGGTTCAGGCCTCACGTGAGGCGAACCATCAGAGCTGCTTCTCCTAGCTCGTCTCTGCCGATGGCTTTGGCTTCTATTGTGGAGGGCAGGTGTAAGCCGGAACCTGTGGGAGCTTCTTGCCGAGGGGAGCGGGGCGGCCAAACCCAAAGGCCCTTCTGGAATCAGCACGTGACCTCTCCTTGCCCACTTGTGTATTCTAGATCTTTCCAGTGGCCGCCTCTACTGGGTTGACTCCAAACTTCACTCCATCTCCAGCATTGATGTCAACGGGAGGAACCGGAAGACTATTCTGGAGGACGAGAACAAGCTGGCTCACCCGTTCTCCCTGGCGATCTTTGAGGTGAGGGTGGGCAGCGAGTGCCCCTGCTTTAGTGTTTGAATGAATTATGGGGTAGCGGCTGTTTACTGAGTGCTACTCATGTATGAGGTGGTGCTTGCAGGCTGACGTACATTGTCCAGTTTATACAAGTCAAGACTGGCTGGGAAGGCTTCCGTTGACTGTGTAGAGCCTTAGACCTGGCCTTATTTCCATTTTCTCCTCACCAAAAGAGTATTAAAAGGTCTAAAACAGTTGGTTCTCAACCGGTGCTGAGCTTGCCCCCCTCCCAGGGAACATTTGGCAATTTCTGGAGACTTGGAGACTTTTGGTTGTCAGAAGCAGGGAGGGGGGCCAGGGACACTGCTAAACACCCTCTGATGACCTGAGGGTTCCCCCGGCAAAGGATTCTCTGGGCCAGATAGTGCCGCAGTGGGGACCCTGCTCTAGAGATGCAGCACCACCACCTAGTACCCCAGGGACTGGGGGGCACAGTGGTCTGTGTCCTACCCCGTTGGTCAATGAGATTTGTTTTAATGCCTATGTAGGATAAAGTATTTTGGACAGATATCATCAATGAAGCCATTTTCAGTGCCAACCGCCTCACAGGCTCTGATGTTAATTTGGTAGCCGGGAATCTGCTGTCCCCGGAGGACATAGTCCTGTTCCACAACCTCACGCAGCCGAGAGGTACGTCCGGAGTCGCTGCACCCTGCTTCCCACGGCTGCTCTTGGCTCTCAGGGGCTCCTGGAATTTTCTAGCCTATCTGATGAATGTCTCATGCTCGCCCCACCCCTGCTCTCCCACCTCAGGAGTGAACTGGTGTGAGAAGACCTCCCTCCACAACGGTGGCTGCCAGTACCTGTGCCTCCCGGCCCCACGGATCAACCCCCATTCACCCAAGTTCACCTGTGCCTGCCCAGATGGCATGCTGCTGGCCAAAGACATGAGGAGCTGCCTCACAGGTGAGGGTGCCAGCCCAGCAGGCAGAGAGAGGGGTGCAAGCGCGGGCCAGCTGGACACGAGTCCTGCCTCTGTGGCCCGAGTGGCCATGACCCTCCACTCGTCTGTCAAATGGGACTGCAGCAAATGTAAGCTCTCACGAGCTGGGGCAGCCTTAGTGGCTTAGTCACCTGTGCTGCTGTAACAGAAATACCACAAGTGGGTGGCTTTAGCAAACAGACATTTATTTTCTCACAGTTTAGGAGGCCAGAGTGCCAGCTCTAGGGGAAGGCTTCCTCTGTTGGCTCTGGGGGAAGGTCCTCGTCTCTTTTCAGCTGCTATTTCTTGGCTCCTTGGCAACCTTCATGTGGCCCGGCGTCTGTCTTCCCTCCATCTCTGCTTACTGGCTTTATCTGCTTTTATATCTCAAAAAAGATTGATTTAAGACACACCCAACACTAATTCTGTCTCATTAACACAACAAAGAAAACCCATTCCCAAATGGGATTATAACCTTAGCTATAGGGGTTAGGACTTACAACATATTTTGGGGGACACAATTCAATCCATAACACCTAGTTTAGCGTTCCCAAATGCTGGGCACATCAGCACTGTGCTGGCTGTGTAGACACATTTCACCTTTTCTGACCCCTTGAGAGTGGATTTGATTTCAGACACCAATGTCGCATGAGGAAATGGGCTCCCTTCCCAATTCTTCTCTTCCTCCAAGAAAGTCTTGATTTGGGGCCGTGTGTCCTCAATACCTATAACACCTGTGATTCCCTTTTTAGCAACACTGACGAGATAACAGTATAAGACAACAATGACATGTGCGTGGGTTTGTGTTCTCCCCACATTTGTTTTCTGTTCTCTGTGGCCGATGGCCCTCGTCTCGTCCCCGTTGTCATTAGGAGCACAGGGCTGTCAGAGCAGCGCTGTGTGCAAACGACCCTCAGGAAATGTTTATTCTCTCAGAGGCTGAACCTGCAGCGACCACTGAGGGGTCCTCCACAGCTCGATCCACAGTCAGGCAGACAGTCAGCTCTGTGGCCACGGAGCCAAAGCACACGGCCAGCCCGCCAGCTCCCAGCACCTCCAGGCAGCCCACGGCCAGCCCTGAGTTCACCACGGCAGAGATGGCTACAATGTCCCATCAAGGTAAAGGCTGGGCCCACCCTGGCCCTGGCTCATCGGGACGAGCAGTGTGTGTGGATGAGCTGCTTCAGAGTCTGTGAGTGTCTTGGTGAAGAGCTGGAGATGGTGTTGGGTCCTCGCTCTGTAATTGCCATCTCTGACATGGGCTGTGCGTCTCTGGAGCCTCACTTTCCCTACCTATAAAGCGGGCTAATGCCAGTGCTTGCCCACCTCCCCAGTAATAGTGGGGAGTAAGAGGGATAATGCGTATGAAGGGCCTGAGAGTGTGGTGGCAGCTGGTCCCCAGAGTGCGCCGTGTACAGGGGCCTGGAAGCCTCAAACTTTATCAAGGCCCATTTGCTGCTTCACTTTCATCCGTCCGCTCAGCTGGGCAGGACTAGGGCAAGGCGGGTGAGGTACTCTCCTGGGTACAGCATTTAAGAGGCACCCAGATCTCAGTAATCAAGTAATATTTTAATGGAATATTTTCAAAAAATCAAATCATCAAATTACAGCCTGCATGTCAGCCACTTTTTTTTTGTTAATAAAGTTTTATCGGAACCAGTAAGGCAAGATTATACAAGTGTAGACACAGATTCTGTCTATCAAATTTTGATATTTTGTTCTTTATGGGAGTTTTTATGTTAATTTTTTAAAAATGTTAATTGATTACTGAGATTTTGGGCACCCCCTTAAGTTTTGTGCCTGAGGCGAACACCTCGCTCTCCTCTCCTCACCTTAGCCCTGGCTGGGTTCCTGATCAGAGCCTCAGTAAATTGACTAAAAGCCAGCAGTTCATCTCTTTGTCCACCAGAGGGTGTCCAACCTGGTTTGTGCTGCCAGAAAATGGAGCTCAAAGGCTTTTCCAGTTAGAAAAAAAAAAAAAAGGTACATCAGCAAGTTTCAGACTTTTTTTCTTTTTTCAGAGTAGCTAGAGCCTTTGTTCAGCTAGAAACTGCTGTGGTTGAGGGAAACCTTGCTTGAGGGGATACTACTTGAAAAGCCACTTCATACACAGGCTAGCCCAGAGCTTCTCAAATTTGGCAAAGGAACCTTTAAAGGGAGAAAATTCTCAAGGACCCCACTGTTGCTCTAAATTATTTTTTATTACAAGGTTTCTTATATATGCACAGATGTAAAACTAGGTCAAACTCCTTACATGCATCGCTCTGACGCTCCTGGAGGCTAAAGATGCACAACAGCCCATAGAATTAGACCCGTCGTCAGTTACAGTCAAATCCGTCTTGGTGGTTTACACCAGCGCACCGTGTATGTGTGGCTCCAGTGTGGCTTATTCAGGCCTCGCAGCCATTTGCCTATTAGGAAGACATTAAACCTTCATTTGCAGGGGGCCCTTATGTTGCCTGGCCCCCAGGCACACACCCCAGATTATGTACTGCTCCCTTCCACCCCAGTCATTTCTCATTAGCCTGAGACAGGTGATGTGGGACTATCTGGCTTTGGTGGATCCCACCTAGCCACTGAGATTGTTGAGCATTACCAGGTCAGAGGGTGGCCCCCTGCCCCATCCAGAATATGCTTATTTCAATGAAATGCAAGCTGGATTGAAAAATTCCACCTGTGACTCATCAACCATTGAGAATGCCTCTGCAGGCTTTGCCCTTGGAGACCTTCCTGACAGCCCCTCCCCCCATGCCTCATCAATGTTAATGTGAAGTTAAAGAACCTTCTGAAACCCACATTGAATCCTGGAGCCCAATTACTGATGAAGAGTGAAGCATGGCATCGCTCAGACTTGGGAGCTCTCCCAGTTCCTTGGAATTTTTTAAGAGTGACAAATGCTGTGCACTCTTCCTTGGAGAGTCGGTCTTTGCTTTTTATAGCCCTTGTTCTGGATCTGAGCCTCACTTTCTCCCTTCCCCCACGCAGCCCTGGGCAACATTGCCGGCAGAGGAACCGAGGAGAAGCCCGGGCGTGTGGGGGCGCTGTCCATCGTCCTCCCCATCGGTAAGTGCCCACTGGCCAGTCACCGGTGCTCCTCTAAACCCGCCCACCTCCCGGCGCCTGCAAAACGGCTTCCCTACTCTGAGCTGGTGCAGTCAGCTTTGTTCCCTAGGTGTGGGGTGGCCCACAGCATGTCCTGGTCATCACTGCACCCCTTTTCATCCTCATTCATTTAACAAACATAGATAAACGCCTATTGCATACCAGGCCCACTTCCTGTAACTGAGGACACAGCCTGAAAGAAATAAACACGCCGTCCCCTCAGAGCTGACAGAAAGTGAACCAGGCAGTGTGTCAGACGGGAGCAGTGGAGCCTGGTGGGGTCAGGGCGTGCCGCTGTGAGGGGGTGAGGCCTGAGAGGTGGAGGGTGCCAGCATGGGAGCTTTTGGCAAGTCCCCTTTCCCTCCCTCACCCTGTCAATCCTGTGAAGTAATCACAGGAAGAACCTGGGGTCAGCTATTTCTGGGGGGAGGCAGACCCTGGGGTTCCAATGTAGACATATCTGTTAGGTCTGTATTTTCTCACCATGTGTGCTTACGTGCTTGTGTCGCTTTAACATTCAGAGAAAAAAAACATTAACAAGTACAAAGGCCAGGCCTCCTGAGGTGTCCTGGACGTAGCGCCTCACTTGCCCCTCCCCCCGCAGTGCTGCTTGTCCTCCTCTGCTTTGGGGCCTTCCTCCTCTGGAAGAACTGGCGGCTGAAGAGCATTAACAGCATCAACTTCGACAACCCTGTTTATCAGAAGACCACCGAGGACGAGGTCCACATCTGCCGCAGCCAGGATGGCTACACGTACCCCGCGGTGAGTGCTCTGGCCAGGTCGGGTGTGGGCGGGCAGGCGTATGGCCAGGGCGAGCTTGTGGTGCCCCCAGCTGGGGATCCCGTGACTCCCCCACAGGCCAAGGACGGCACTCATTGAACCACGTGTATCTGTGTGTCCATCCACGCCCCTGAGTCAGGACCCACCCCCAGAGAGCGACCCTTCTTGTGGGGGGAGGAGAGGCACAATAAATAAGCAAATCAGTCCTAAGTCAGGTGATGATGAGTGCTGTGGAGAAAAAGAAACCAGAGGGGACAGAGACGGGTTGGGGGCTAGGGGATTTCCCTGAGGAGGGCACAGCCTGTGCAAAGGCCCTGAGGCTGGACAGTGCGTGGTGTGTTGAGCAGCAGGAGGAGGCCGGTGTGGCTGGAGCAGACTGAGCGAGCAGGAGGATTATGCTGATGTACAGTTTTACAGCACGCTGATTATGTGTCTTGCAGGGCCTTGTGGGCCACAAGGGGACTTGAGCTTTTGCTCTGAGTGAGGGGGGAACCATGACGGTTCTGAGCAGAGGACGTGTTCACAGGTGCCCCCCAGCCTTTGTGGGGGAAACAGACTGTGAGGGCCAGGGCAGAGGCGATTGGCTGGTCCAGGTGGTAGATGGCGGGGGCATCCAGGACGAGGGTGGAGCAGAGGATGGGGTGAGAAGCGAGTGGACTCCGGACATGTTTATTGAGTGTTGGGCTGACGGTTTGTTGTTTTGTTGACAGAGACAGATGGTCAGCCTGGAGGATGACGTGGCATGAACAGCTGCCTGCCTGTGTCCTGTTCCACCAAAACTTGCTGCCGCCGTGGGCAGGAGAAATGCTTTCTCCCCGGATCCTTGACCACCTGTCCACCTCCCTGTCCAGAACCTTCCTGAGACATCAACACCCCCCTGTCTCATTCAAAGAAAGAAGAGACAAAAGCACTGCTGGCGCCCGAAGCCCCCGCCACGGCCTGTCTGCCTAGAGCTTTGTTTTATATATTTATTCTTCTAGAGGCAGCGCAGGCGTCTAACTGCACCCGAAGCAGGCTCGGGCTGGGATTTTTATTTTCTTTCTTTGCGAGTGAGCTGGGATGGTGCTCAGGCTGTAAGGACAGATGTCTGGATTCCTCTCAAAGGAAATCCTGACCTTCTCTCCGCTGTGACTTACTCCGCGTGTGGAGGACCGACGACAGGGGAATGCGGGCCGAGATAAAGCAGGTGGCTTCAGACACAGAACGGGTGCTACCGGCCAGCTGCTGCGTCCCACCCTCTTCCCCCAGCCCCTTAACTCAGGAGTAAATGCGTTTACCTCTACCTGGCATGCTGTTGTAGACAACTGCAACTAGCCTTCTGCCTGCCACTCCCAGGTCAGGATAAACTAGTGTTTTTCAAGCTGAGTCTATGCCCCCCTTCAAGCTGGGAAGGCATTGGCACCAATATGGTGGTGTATCCAGTGTGACGGGGGTGGCGCCAGCTGAGACCAATTCATTCACCAAAATGACGACAATACCCAGAGGGAGAGCCTGAGTCACCAGTCGCCCTTAACTGTGATGAAGTGCCTGAGTCACCAGGTTTACCTTGTGCTGCCCCAGCCGCTGAGTTAGGGTTGTTTGCACCCACCCCACGGCTGCCCCGCCCCTGCCCCTCCACGCGGAGCCCCGACCGCTTTTCCTCTGTACCTGTGCACTTTTTCAGTTCAGGGCTGTACATTTTGTAAATTGGACATTTTTATTATTATTTTGCACTGTTTTATGTTGTATGTGTAGAGCGTGTGGTCTGGAGGCCTTTGAGTGTGAGCGTGAGTGTGAGAGTGAGCTGATACATGTGGAGGAGAGGGTCTTGTCGGCCAGGAATTCAAAGCCATGGTTGTGGATACTGGGAACTGCCATTGTCTTTTTGCGTTCTGTCTGCCAGGCTGGTTAAGAACTTCTCTAGGCTTCCACCTGTCAGATGCCCCTGAGGAGGACACTGTCCTAGATGAATGTGCCTAGAAGGCACATCTCGTTCAGCCTGTCAGCAGTCCTTGGCGTGGGTCATTTCATGGGACTTTTATTAAACAAGAAGTCCCTCTGAACTAGCTGTGAACCTAGTCATTGCATCTGTGACCAGAGAGATGATGGCAGCCTCCTCCTTGTTCCTGGGGGAAGGAAGCATCTGAAGGGAGTGAAGTCTGTCCCCTACGCTAAGACAAAACACTGCACCCCACCCTATAGGAAACTGTGAAACAGCTTTTCTCTTTCTGAAGCATGTAAATAAACTGGTGTACAGATAGGGGGGCTTTGGGTTATGTTTGCACTTTGTATATTTGCTGAAACAGTTACCACTTATATTAAAAAACAAACAAAACTATTTATTTTTTGCAAACCCTGGTTGCTGCATTTGCTCAGTTACTACTGTGGGGGCGCCGCACTGGGTGGGGGGTGAGGGGCTGTCTCTGAGATGCGTCTTTAGATACAAAGATTGTTTGCACCAACTGTGTGCACTGCCTTTCAGAAGAAGGATGTCCATGTTGTTTGTACAGGTTGCTTTTGTGGAATGGGCATCACTTTTTAAACCACTGTATAGAAAGTTTTTATAGCCTGAATGGCTTACTGTGATCAATTAAATTTCTTAAATGAACCATTTGGTTAAACCTGACTTCAGCACACCGAAAGTGTTTTCTTCTCCCATCCGCTTGCTCCCTCCACCTGTTAATGGGGTGAACTCCCAGGGAAGAAGGTCCAGAAAGGGAACATTGGGCTGCAGCCTGGGGGTGGTGACAGACTCCTGGGGGTGAGGCTTCCCTCTCCCCTCTCAGCTCTGCGGGCACTTCCTTGAGTTGTCGAAGTGCCGTTTGACAAATCCCCAGTTCATTCATTCATGAATTCAAACATTTATTGAGCACCTACTGTGTGCCAGGCCCTGTATGCAGTGAATAAAAGATTAAAAGCCCCTACCCTCAAGGAGCTCACATTTTAGAAGGGGAAACAGGAACAAATAATACATTTTTCTAGAAGAATGGGGGGGGGACCACTATGTTTCTAGGAGAATGGGAATCCCTGGGGGGTGTAAATGGTTAACATGCACGGCTACTAACCTAAAGTTTGAAGGTTTTGAGTCCACCCAGAGGTGCCTCAGAAGAAAGGCCTGGTAATCAACTTCTGAAAAATCAGCCATTGAAAACCCTATGCAGCACAATTGTCCTCTGACACCAGCGCCTCTGGATGGACTCGAACCGCCAACCTTTTGGTTAGCGGCCAAGCGCGTTAACTACGTACACCACCCAGGGACTCTATTTGTGTAAGTTCTCACAAATCTGAGCCCAAATTCCATTGGGCAACATCTGGCAAGAGCCCAGGGCATCCAGGCACGTGCGCTGCAGCCACCCACAGTACCATACAGCCCATTCTCACGTGCGCCTCTGCTTTTCCTGCCTGGGCCAGGCAGGCATTGAAGACCCCCCACCCCCACCCCCGTCTCCGCGCATGGCCAAACCACAAACCATTCCAGTGTATCAATCGGGGGAGTGTCAGGAACACAACCCACGGCAGGTCATGAAGTAGAAAAAAATACTTGTAAGAAACCAAATGGGGGGCAGTGAGGCAACCCAGAAATAAGCCACAGCAGAAAATCTTTAGCACCCTCTGTGCCTGAAAGACGGAGGGAGGCGGTGGCGTCACCAGAACGCCGGAGCTGGTAACAGCTGGAAGCTCCGGCGAGACAAAGCAATTGCGGGAGACAAGATCCATCGCTGAGAGAAAGGGCGAAAGACCCCAGCCCCTCCCCTCCGCCCCATCTCCCACCAGTGCCTCCCATTGGCTGAACCTAACAGGAAGCCAGTTGTGAAGGAGCCTGGGAAATAGAGTAGTCCCTCCCACCCCCTCCAAAAAAAAAAAAAAATATACGGGCTAGGGGCGGTTCTTCCTCTTTAAGACTCAGGTGAGGGGCGGGACAAAGGAGATGTTGAGAGCTCAGACCCGAGCCAGGTTAGCTGGCTTTGAATCCTGCCTCTGCCCCTAGGTGTGACCTTGGCTACATTAAGCCCTCAGTTTTCCCAACCAAAAAAGCCAGTGATAGATCATAGTCCCTTCGCGGGGCTCTGGGCACCAGTCGTGGTTTAGCGGCCAGGCCCGGAGGCGGGTGGCGGTGAGTTGGGAGTCCCAGGCACTGTCATCTTTTCTGTGTCCACAGGGTGGCACTTCCTTCCTTCCTTCCTTCCTCCTTTTGTTTTGGAAAGGTTCCAAATGCCTCTAGGGGCGAAAACTGAACATACCACACAGGAAGCCATCCCGAGGCTGCACACGGGCGCTCGATAATTGGCCGAGTGAATAATTTGATGCTCAACTGTGTGGTAAACAGGATAAGTGGCTCCAGTGGCGCAGGCCTCAGGAGGGGCCGGGAGGCAGACTCCGGCTGCCATGCTGGTCTGGGGCTGGGGGCTTAGAGGGTGGGCAGAACTGGGGGTCGCCAGGCAGCGGGGGCTGGGAGCAAGACTAGGGGGAGGTATGGCGTCTGGGAGAGGCAGTGGTGATGGAAGTTTCTCATGTCCGGCCTCGGCTGTTTTCTTTTGAAGACTTCAAAGTAGTACTAAAAACTTCCACGGGAGACCGGTACAGGCGCACAGGCAATGGGGCTTCAGGAGAGATGAGCCAACACTGTGTGGGGATTAACTCATCTACTTCTCATGGTGGGCCCTGAGGTCGGACTGTGACTGCCCATTTTATGACAAAGGGAGGCTCAGGAAGGTGGGTCACCAGGCTCAGCTGACATAGCTCCCGGTGAACCCCAGATGCACCTCTCTTTTCTCCACCACTAGCCAGAGGGTAGAGAGTGGGTGGGGGCCTGGAGGGTCCCTGCACCTGCGTGGTCACCGTGGCTGCCAGCTCTCTGGGCTCAGAAAGGGCCCTGGTGGCAGGCGTAGATGGTAGGCATGCAAGATGCCAGTAGCCTCTGTCTGGTCGGTGGGCTCAGTGCCGCCCCAAGGCACTGGTCCTGCAGGTGTTGGGGGCAGTCTTTGGAGCAGCCTTGAGTTTGGGGGCTGCCATCCCTATGGGATAGGGTGACATCTACAGTGCTGTCCTCCCCATCTCCGTGGGCCCCATAGCTCTGGCCAGGACAGGGTGGGTGACAGGAAAAAGCTGCTCCCCAAGCCTGACACCCTAACTTGTGTCCTTGGCAGTCTCCCACCCCCAGGCTCGGCATCCCTTCCAACCCCTTGCATCCCAACCCACAACCCTGCAGGGCCTGGGAGCTGTGCCACAGCTGCTGTGGTGAGTCAGCCTGGAGCCTGTGGGGAGCTCAGGTCCACGGGGCGGAGGGGCAGGGGGAGGGCCTGCCCCCACCCTGCAGCTGGCCCCGGCTGGCCCTTCTCCCACGCCAGGATCAGCCCTGGGGCCCTGCAAGAAGTGACTTCCTGTATGATAAAGGGATCAGAGCAGGGGTGTGTGTGTGTCACCCCACTGCGCAGGGAGGCAGGGTGGGGTGGGAGGAGGGGCAGCCTCCTGGGTCTGGTCCAGGCTCCACTCCCAGCAGCTCTGTTCCACTCTTCCTGCTGGCCAGACCTCTGGCGGAGGGTCTGCCTCCTGCCCCAGCATCCCCCAGCTCCACATCCTGCACTGTGCCTGGGACCCCTGGGAAGCTTGGGGGTAACAGCGTGATCAGCCATCTGGACAGGCTGGGCACTGCACTGTGACCTGTGTCAAGAGGCCAACGCTGGGCTCTTGGCTGGGCTGCACCTGGAATCTGAACCCCCCCTGGGGCTCTTTGCTGTCCCTTGAACCCCGGCCTTTGCGCCTGCTGTTCCCCCTCAGGTCTGGGCTCAAATGACGTCCTCCCTGGAGACTCCTAAAGAGCCCCTACTCCCCGGTCACCCGTGAGCCCACCACAGCGTTTCATTTTCTTCTAAGCGTTTATCAGTGACTGAAACGAGCTCCTCTGTAGCATCGTGGTTAGGAGCATAAGCTGTGGATCCAGACCCCATAGGTTCAGGTCCCAGCTCTGCCACCTACTAGCCCTGAAAACTTGGACAAATAACTCGACCTCTCTGAGCCTCAGTTTCTTCATCTGTAAAATGGGGATGACCATAGCACCCACCGCATTTGGCGCTAACACAGAGATGGGCACACAACACCGGCCTGACTCTCTCCATCAGCGCTGGCTGTCCTCACTCCCCCTTTTGTGATCACCTCTGCTAGTGTGGCCATCCTGAAGGAGGACCTAACAGGTCACAGACGCTCAAACCACATCATGGAGTAAATAGGGGAGGCCTCCAGGAGGTCCCGGGGCCACCCTGAGAATGGACCAGTACAGCCACAAAGAGACAAGTCACTGGTGGGCTCTAGTCCCGAACCCCCTTGAGAACCCACACATCACCCCACATTCAGTCCTCCTGGCCCCTTCCTAGCCCCTCCCAGCCTGTCCAACCCTGGCCCAGAGGGGAGACCATGGCTTCAGATCTGACACCCCGGGTTCAAAGCCAGCCCCAGATGGTTGCTCTCCTCACCTTCCTGACCTGGCTGTCGTCTCCTCTGTAAACTGGAACAGGCCCGGCTGCCTGGCCTAAGGTGCTGGCAGGATTGTCAGCTGCCCCAGAAACATCAATCAGAAGCCAGGTCGCCGGGCGTGCAGGTATTCGACATGCACAACACCTATCAGAAATGACTGATGTATCTAGAACTCCCACCTGCTTTTTTACCCTTTAGGCCTAACCAACTGCAGGTGTGGGTTCCGAGCCTGGCTTGGCCTCTCCCTACGTGTGTGACCTTGGACAAGGGACAGACTTCTCTAGACTCAGTTTTTATCTGAAAAGCCAAGATCATCATCCAAGGACTACAAGTCTAAATGTGCCATCCCCAAATGCAACAGACATGCCACTGAGTAGCATGGACCCTGGAGCCCGGGCCTGGGTTCAGATTCAGGGGCAGCACTGTCTTCTGACCTTAGGCAGGTGACTGAGCTGAGCCATGCCCCAGTTTCCCCATCTGTAAAAGAGACTCCTCACGAACTCAAACGGGCGGGACATGACGAGGACTCCGCCTTGCTGTGAGGTGACTGCCAGGCTTGCATTAGGCCCTGGACGCTGTGGCAGGTTCTCACCTCAGCTCTGCAGGTGCAGGGCCTGTGAGCTGGCTCCTCACTCCCTGGCCCTGGGTGGAAATCTTGCTCCTACCACAGGGCTCAGCCGCGGATGCCCCTTGCTGGAGAGCTGGGGTCACTGGGGCTAGGCCAAGCACTCCGTGTGCCTCTGGCCAGCTTCCAGCATTCGGGCAAGAGCTGGTGGAGGACACTGGGCTCTGAAGAATAAGCGGGGGCGGGGGAGTGGGTGGGGTGCAGGCTGGAGACTGTGAGCCACGGCTGTCCCAGGCTTCCCGCCAGCGCCGACCAGTGAGTCAGGGCTGAGGCATGCTGAGGGCTGGGGCCTCTCCTGGCCACCATGACATCAGCCCTGAACCCACTGCCGTCTGCACTCCCTGGGCCCCGCCAAGCCGCGTTCCTCACCCACTTGTTCACTCCAGCGCATCCTGTGCCGCCCACCCGGCCTAGGCCTGCCTGGGAATGGGGAGACGTGGCCCCTCTGAGCTTGGGTGCAGCCTCACCCATAGGGCCTGGATTTTCCTTGGGGAAACTGAGGAAACAGGTTCAGGTTGCTGGTGGTGGGTGACCAGCAGGCCACTCTCCCAGGACAAAGCAAGGCAGCTCCTGGGGAGGGACAGGGGAGTGCAGATCCCGTTCAGCCCACCAGAGAGCAGGGGTCTCAGACTTTATCTTAGTGGCACCCTGTGGCCTGCTAGGTTGACTGAAGGACAATCGAGACCTCAGCATGGATGCTGGGTTTGTTAGCAGGAACAGCCCAGAAGGTCAGTGCAGCCACCAATTCAGACAGACTGGTTCCTGGGCGAGGCTGCAAGGAGGGTGGGTGGTTATCCTGGGGCAGCGGCTCTCAGCCGGGGTGATGTGGCCCCCCAGGGACACTTGGCAATGTCTGCTTGTCATAACTGAGGGGCTCCTGGCATCGAATGGGTGGAGGCTAGCGATACTGCCAAACACCCCACAACGCACAGGACAGCTTCCTGCCCCCGTGTCACTCAGGCTGAGGCTGGGAAAGCCTGCTCTAGGTCAGGTCTTTGCCCTTTGGAGGCAGATCGCACAAGCAGAGGCTCTGCTCGCATTTACCCCCTCCACGCCATAAAGAATCTACCAACCCTGAAAATAAAAACAGCCCGGCGGGCCTACACGAACACTTGATATGTAAAACCAGGCCCTACAAAGTTCTCTGAAAAACTTTCTTCATGAGCTGAACAGACTGAGGCTTCTTACATTCAGGGGACAGACTAACAACCCCGCTTTTCTGGGTCGACCTCCCAGGAGCCGGCAGGCAGGCTCCCTTGCCCCACCCAGGACCCTGAGGTCACCTAAACAAACCATGTTCAGTACCCGCGTGCTGGGCTCAGATGCTGCCTGGACGCTTTCTCGGCAACTGCGTGGGGAGTGGGGCTTTCTGCAGCAATTGCTTCTTCAGTGCTCCCTCGCTCTTTACTAATCTGTCCTAATGAGTTCAACTTTTCTGGAAATTTCTCCAGTGTCACTGTAACTTCTTTCTGAATGAATGTTATGCCAAACAGTTCTTCTGGAGTGGTCACACTCTGAAGGGGCTGTGCCCTCTCCGTGGATGCTGACATCTCCATGTGTCTGTTCCTAGGTATCCTGCCTTTGCTTGTAGGAAGCAGAACAGGTACTGGAGAACCCCCTCAGATGTGGGTTCCAGTCAAGCTCCGCCACTTAATAGCTCTGTGGCAGTCAGTTCTCTGCAGCTTCATTTGGTCTCTGAAATGGGAATCGCCACTAACTCTGATAGCCTGTGAGGAGGGCTGACTTAGCTGCTGTGCCGGAAGGGCCACGCCCACCTGGTTCTTCCCATTCCTCCCCACCCTGCCCCAGGGCTGACCAGGACCACCCTCTCTCAGGCGGTTAACAAAGGCAAGGTCGTCCCACCTCCAAAACAACCCCGAGATCAGACCCCCAGCCCCTCTCCCCCTCCCCTCTCTAGCCGTTTACACCTCTATGTCTTTGAATTTACGGCTCCCTCGGCCTAAAATGCCTGATTAATTGTGCTTATTGTAAACAATTCCGTTGTACAAAAGTTCATGAAACTGAGGCTCATATAACTAACAAGTCTATTGGCTTCAGGCAAAGCTGTATCAAGGGGACAAATGGTGTCAGTGGGATACTACCCCCATCTCTACCTTCAGGCAAGCAGGCGGAAGGAAGAACAACTTCTTTTCTCAGTAGTTCCCCACCCACTGTGGGTGCGGGAAGGGTAAACACACTGGTTGGCCAGCCCTGGCCTAGGTTGCATGCTCAATCTGTTAGGGTTTCTTCCTGGCTTCTGGCATCCCTAGAGGACTGTACCCCTCCTTACACAGCCAGCCATCACATCCAAATTCCAGACAGGGTATACTCCCTTGCCTTTTAAGCATCCTTCTAAAAGTTTTATACAACACTTCTACTTACATTTCATCGGCCTGAACTTAGCTTCAAGAAAGGCTGGGAAATGTTGTGTTTTAACTGGACAGTTAAAAGGGTTTCCTTAGTAAGGAGGGGAGCCCTCGTGGCGTAGCAGTTACGAGCTCGGCTGCTAACCAAGAGGTCAGCAGTTCGAATCTACCAGCTGCTCCCTGGAAACCCTATGGGGCAGTTCTACTTTGTCCTATAGGGTCACTAAGAGTTGGAACCAACTCGACGGCAAGGGTTTGGTTACTAAGAAGGGAGGGGAGAATGAACATTAGGAGGCAGCCGGTGGTCTCTGACACACAGGCACCCTGGAGCCAGGATGGGCCCCGACACAAGACACATACACTGAGGTGGGGGAGCAGCGGGTCCCAGAGAAAACCAGATGTGGCTGTTGGCAGGACTGGCTGTGTGCTCCCCCCACCCCGCGCATGGCAGTTTCAGTGGGTGGGCTGTTGTCCTTTGGATTAGTAACACTCAACAAACTGCCCTAAAACTTGCTTTCCTCCCAGCCACTCATGGTCACGCCCCTCCCAGCGCCATGAGATTCCCCAGAAAAGACACCCCAGAAGGTAGCTGCCCCTCCTGGACTCTGGTTCTCGGCATCACCAACTCCTCATCCCAGCACAAAAGTTGGCCCCTTCTCTGGGAAGTGTGTATTCTCCCAGGCCAGGGGCCTCAGCGTCTGTGCCCATGTGCTTGAAGCCTCCACCAGCAGGGTGGGTCCCAGGCGCTAGCCTCCTGGGTCTCTGGTGCCTAGCCCAGTGCTGGCCACACAGTGGCTCTCAGAGACGTTCTTGAATGAATCTGGGTAAGTGAGTTCCCCATGGTCACCTGGCCAAGGCCAGTCTAGGAACTAAGGCAGAACCAGGGGGAGGGGGGAGGAAATTCAGTAAGACCCATGTTTGTATAAACATATAATTTCACACTAATCCCACCACTGAGGCCCTACCACCCACCCCAGCTGACCCCTACTATGTCCAGGACAATGGCTACCACTCGGTGTCCACCAAGCTCCAGAGATGGTCACTGATGAATTTCTTGGACAGTTGGGTGCTGTCCAGGTGGATGGGCTGTGCAACGCTGGGGCCGTGATGGACTGAGGGGGCAAATGTAAGGAAAACCGCCGTGGCCTGCACAGCCCTCCCCACAACCCAGCATGGAAAGGATACTGCCTTTGATCATCCCTGGTTCACATTCGTAATCCCACTCGATTTTACTAATCCGGTGATATAGCTGAGCCACATACCTGTACCACAAGACAAAAAAGAAAGGTACCCCAGAAGCGACTCCAACAAAGAGCTGAAGACAGGACACAGATACAACACACACACGGATGGGACCTACACAGCTGAGGGGATGGTGACCGTCGTGTCTTCGTCAACTTCCCTCTCTTGTCTTTGGAGATCCACCTCCATCTCCTTGAGCCCCTCCAGCTCGCTGGTGAGCTGAGTAGGGCAGGTGGTTAAGGATCACTCTCTCTGGAGAGTTGCCTACCTGCTATCTCCAGCTGCCCTGTGCCCAGGGCCTCTGGCTCCAAGCACATTTTCTAACATGAATGAACTCACACCTCTGACGTGGCTGAGGCCGACCCGCTCCACGCATGCAGAAAAGGATATAAGAGGTTGGCCTTCAGGTGAGTGTCTTCCTCACTGGCCTTCTGCAGCTCAGCTTCAAGCTGCTGCAACTCAGCAACCCCCTGGTGCGCCTTCTCCTTCGTGTCAACAAGGTTTTGGGCCACTTCCTTCTCCGTGGTGAGGATCTCTGTTGGACAGGAGAGAAGGTTCTGCCCCTTCCATGCAGGCTCCCCAGGGTCCGTCCTTCACCAGGTGAGCCGTGGAGCTGGGGAGGATGGTCCATCACCTCCCCCATCTCCAATGAATACCCCACTTTTCGGTCTGCAACTCCTGATCTGCTTGCCCCATTTCCAAAAACGCCTACCAGAGAGTTCCACCTGGACCTTGCAAAAGTACTTCCATGTTCCGAAAACAAACTTAAGTACACCAAAAAGAATAAAATCTGGTCCTTTACTGCACACCTAATCTGAATTTATAACATCACAGTCTACACTGTCGCCCAAGCAAGAAACCTGGGACTCACTTTCCACACCCAGTTAGCCATCCAGTCAGGCAGCTCTCCTTCCTGTCCAACTCCAGACCCTCCTCGCCTTCCTCATGCTGGACTTTAGGGGACCCCCTTCATCCTCCAGCCTAGCTCCCTGCTTTGGTTTCTCCCTATGCCAGTCTATTCTCCTCTCTGCCTCCAGAGTGGCCACGATAGAGACCGAATGCAAAGTCACTCCCCTGCTCAAAGACCTTCCGTAGCTCCCTAATGTCTCCAGATTAGTCCAGATCCACTTCAGCATCTTCACCACCCTCCCAGCCTCCTTTCTCCTTGCTTTTGACCCCACCATGTACTTCTCTCTGCTCTAGCCACAAAGATGCCTCATCATTCTGTAAACATGCCAGGTCTTCAGTCCCGGGCCTCTGTCTACCTGTCCTCCATGGGCGCACCTCTGCCCCTGCCCACTGGGCACACCCGTATCCAGCCGTCAAGACCACCTGGGTAATGCCCGGCTTGGGTAGCCAGACACTCTCCACCCTCTCCTGGGGCACGACTGGGCTCAACAAGCACCCTCGTCACACTGAGTTATTCATTCCTCGGTCTTCTTCAAATCAGATAAGTGTCTCATATTCACCATGCGGCTCCAGCATCTACCCGGAATGAAGATGTGCTGAACAAAACACCCAGGAAGTTCAAAAACATCTTAAGAAGGCTACTGCCTTCCTTCTGGGAAAGTCAGAGAAATCTGCCAACTCAGAGAAGGCACAGTTTATTTATTTATTTATTTTTAAATTATTGTTGTACTTTAAGTGGAAGTTTACAATTCAAGTTAGTCTCTCATACAAAAATTTATACATACATTGTTATGTAACCCTAATTGCTCTCCCTATACTGTAATAGCACACTCCTCCTTTCCACCCCTGATTTCCCGGAGAAGGGACAGCTTAAAATGCCTCCCAAAGGGCCTGCATTCACATTTTTTAAAACTGACTTTAAGTTAATTTTAATTTTTTATCGAAGTATTACATGCATATGGTTATAAAAATTTAAACTTTTACATGCATACTCCCCTATTTCAAGCCTCTTGGAAGCAGCCATTTTCAACTCACAGCTGTTTTCTCTGGCACTGATCTCCATATTTCTAAATAATTTGCTTATGCTGCTGTTTCTTGATTTGTCCATTTTAGACAGGGCCTGCTGATTTCCTGTTTTGATAGCTGAGGGTCTGGCTCTCTTAAACAGTCTTCCCACCCCTTTTTCACCCATCCTCCCGACAGACAGACGACCAAGTCTTCTTTGAGTCTTCCAAGGCAATGATCTCATTAACTGAGTGTGTGCTGGGTGCCACTTGATAACCCAGGAGCTACTACTACACATTTCATTCTCACAACCCTCTGAGGGCCCAGAGAGGTTAAGTGACTTTCCTACAGACACACAGCTTGTCCCAGTTCCCTCCCTCTCAAACACTGCCTCTAAGCCTCCCCTGTCCCAAATCCATCCCTTCTGCTACCACCCAGGCAGGCTGGGTCACACTGTTCATCTCCCCAAACCATCAACAGAGGGGGAAGGAGGGAGGAGGAGAGCGGCCCCTGACTGGGACGTCAGGTCTGGCCCCTGCTGACTTCATCTCCTACCACTTTCTCCTGGGCTCACCTCCTGATGTCATTTAGCCCTAACGTAAATTATGTACTTTAGTTAATACTAATCTATCAATATTGGTTCATCAATTGTAACAAATGTACCCCATGAATGCAAGATGTTAATAACAGGGGGAACTGTGCAGGGGAGGGGGGCATATGGAAACTAGCTGTACTTTCTGTACGAGATTTCTGTAAACCTAAAACTGCTCTAAAAAATAAAGCCTATATTTAAAAAAAAAAATTTTTTTAACGCATTTAAAACCCCTGGTTATATTGTTAGGAGTCCCTAGGTGGCACAAACAGTTAAGCATTTGGTTACTAATTGAAAGGTTGGCGGTTCAAATCCACCCAGAGGGGCCTCGGAAGAAAGGCCTGGCGATCTAGTTCCAAATGGTCACAGCCATTGAAGACCCTATGGAGCGCAGTTCTACTCCGACACACATAGGGTCGCCATGAGTCAGAATTAACTAGACTGGCAACAGGTTTAGGTTTTTTGTTTTTGGCACAGAGAACAGCAGCGACAACAGGGACCCCACCTGCCCAGGCCACGACATGCACAGTATCCCGCAAGCATCATCTCCACAGACCCTCGAATCAATCCAGCCAGGGTGCTATCTCCAGCCCCATCTCACAAATAAGGAAACTGAGGCTCATCGAAGGAAGTCACCTGACCGGGACCACAGGACTTGTGAGTTAACAGTTGAAAGATGGGTGGGGGCTCCGGACGTGTCCCTCCCATCCGCCTTTGGTGGCGTGTGAACATATTTATCACTAGAGCTTTTGTCCCCTTACTTTTTAGAGTCGTACATTCTATGGCATCTTAGATGAAAAGGGTAATATTTATCCAGTGCTCTCTCTATGTAAAGCACCAGTACCTCACCCACATCAATGGTGGCCCAATAGCTAAGCTCTTGGCTGCTAACCGAAAAGTCAACAGTTCGAACCCATCCAGCAGCTCCTCGGGAGAAAAGACCTGGCAATCTGCTCCTGTAAAGATTAAATCCCACCCGTTGCCATTGAGTCCGACCCATAGTGATCCTATAGACAGAAAAGAACTGCCCCACAGAGTTTCCAAGGCTGTGATCTTTATGGAAGCAGACTGCCACATCTTTCTCTCCTGAAGTGGCTAGTGGGTTAGAACCACCAACCCTTCGGTTAGCAGCTGAGGGCTCGCCTAGGCAGTTCTACTTTGTCCTATAGGGTCGCTGACTCCACTCCGCGGCACACACAACAACCCTCACTCACTCCCTCCCCTCCTTCAGGTTTCTGCCTTCTCATACGCCTTTGCTGACACCCTCCCCCAAACAAAACATCACCACCCCTCCTTAGCCCATCACCTCCTGACAAACCGATTTATCTTGTTTGTTCTCATCTCCCCCACTGGCGTGTCGGCCCTCCCAAGGGCAGGGGTTTTGTCCCCTGCTGCCACCCCAGAGGGAGCCCTGGTGGCGCTGTGGTTAAGCACTTGGCTGTTAATGGAAAGGTCGGCGGTTCAAACCCACCAGCAGCTCTGCGGAAGAAAACACCTGGCTATCTGCTCCCGTAAAGATCACAGCCTTGAAAACCCTATGGGGCAGTTCTCCTCTGTCCCGTAGGGTCACTATGCGTCGGAATCGACTTGATGGCAACGGGTTTGCTACCCCTGGGCTGGCATTGCCCCTGGCACACAACATGTGCTCGGTAAAACACTTGTGCAACCTTAGGAGAGCGGTGCGGGCTATTGCTATAACCTTACAGACTAAGAAACTAACGCACAGAGAGGTTAGGTAACTCCCCCCAAAGCCCACAGCTGGGAAGTGGGGGTGCTGAGATTCAAACCTGGAGCTTTGACTCGAGTTCCCCAGCTCCTGCTTATGGAGCGCTCAGAATGGGCCAGGCCCTGTGAGCGCCTATATTCACGACCAGATTTACCCTTGGCGGTGGCTGCTGTCAAGAAGCCCATTTCACGGGTAGGGAAACTGAGGCTGAGCTGGCCGCCCCCACCGGGTTGGGGGTGGCGGTGGGGAGCCCCGAGGGAGGCCCTCACCTCGCAGTAGCCGCTCCGCGCTGTCCTGCGCCTCCAGCAGCCGGTCCACCACCTGCTCGTGGTGCCCCAGCAGCCGCCGTTGCTGCGCATCGGCGCGGTTGGCGCCCAGCAAGCTCAGCAGCCCCTGGCTCAACTCTTCCATATCGCGGAAAGCCGCCATGACTACGCCAAGGCTAAACCCGCGCAAACTTAACTGCCTGTGGGGCCCGCCCCCTCTGGGAGAAATCCTTGTTCATTGGCTTACTCCCCGTCAGTCATCACCGCGGGGCGAGGCCGCCTCCGGTCCGGCCTCTTGCGCCTGCGCAGCTCTTCGGTCTGTCGTAGGCGGTGCAGGGAGAGGGCGCTTTCCGGAGTTCTGCCTGTTGTGGCTGTGCTTGCTGGAGGAAGGCTGTGAGAGTCTGTAGCCGTTTATTTCTGTATACATTGAGCGCCTGCTGAATGCCGGGCGCGATTCTAGGGATAAAACAATGAATAGCTTCTGGTGGAACTGATATTCTACAGTGTGTGGTTGGAATACACACAGTAAACATAATAAATAAATTCTCTCTACAAGGCCGCATAGCAAAATGGGCTCTGCAACCATATTTACTGAGTTCGAATCCCAGCTCTGTCACTTATTAGCTGTGTTCCCCACTGCCATCGAGTCAAGTCCGACTCACAGCGACCCCATAGGGTTTCCAAGGCTGTAAATCTCTACGGAAGCAGACGGCCACATCTTTCCGCTGAGGAACTGCTGATGGTTTCCAACCGCCGACCTTTCGGTTGATCTAGCTGTTTACCGTGAGCAAATTACTTGACCCCTCTGTGCCTCATTTTCCTCAGGGTTGGCGTGAGGATTAAATGAAGATGGTACTGGTCTTCAGTTAGTACTGTATTTGTTGTTGGTTGCCATTGGAGTAGGCACCAACCCATGGCAACCTAATGTACAGCAGAAGGCCCAGTCCCACGCCATCTTCATCATTGCTGGCATGTTTGAATCCACTGTTGTCGCCACCGTGTATTATGAGTGCCTTCCAACCTAGGGGGCTTATCTTCCAGCACTATATGGGACAATATTCTTCTGTTGTGATTCATAAGTTTTCATTGGCTAATTTTCGGAAGTAGATCACCAGGCTTTCCTTCCTAGTCTGTCAGTCTGGAAGCTCCACTGAAACCTGTCAACCGTGGGTGACCCTGCTGGTATTTGAAATACTGGTGGCATAACTTCCAGCCTTATAACAACACTCAAACCACCACAGTATGACCAACTGACCGACAGGCGGTGGAAGTACTGTATACCCACTGCTGTTGAGTTGATTCCGACTCATAGCAACCCAATAGGACAGAGTAGAACTGCCCCATAGGGTTTGCAAGGCTGTAACCTTTACGGAAGCAAACTGCCACATCTTTCTCCTGTGGAGCACCTGGTGGGTTTGATCCGCACTAATGTTTTGGTTCGCAGCTGAGCGCTTTAACCACTGCGCCATCAGGCTAAGTACTAAACAAAACAGGTAGAGCATTAGTGAATGAAGTGCCGACCACGGACCACACACCATGCTATGTGTGGGGTTACAGTGGAGAAAAGACAAATTGCATATTCTTATGCCGTGTTCCTTAAACTTATGTCAAAAAATCAGTGGATCATGACCAGTATTTTCTACAAAAGAGAACAGAAAAAATAGCATGGCACATGGAAAGATAAGTATTGTTTTAGGAAGCTCCAAACTCTGCAGTTGTGTTCTGAGCATGGCAGATTGTATTTTCTAAAAATGGCTGCAGAAATATTTCCAATGCTGCCACTCCCCATCAAGAGGCAGACTCTCCTCTCTTGTTATACAGTCATAAAACCTGGATCACTGGGTCACAATGTGAAATTTGTATCTTTCTCTGTTGTTGTTAGGTGCCGTCGATTCGGTTCCAACTCATAGCCACCCTATGTACAACAGAACGAAACACTGCCCGATCCTGCGCCATCCTCACAATCATTGTTATGCTTGAGCCCATTGTTGGAGCACTGTGTTAATCCATCTCGTTGAGGGTCTTCCTCTTTTTTGCTGACCCTCTACCAAGCGTGATGTCCTTCTCTAGGGACTAGTCCCTCCTGATAACAAGTCCAAAGTATGTGAGACATCACATAAAAAAATTTTTTTGAAAGTACTGCTCTAGTGGCAAGACTTCACAATAAGCAAGGGAAGAAATAAACAAGGGCATTTTCGTAATACCTGCTATGAAGGCAATAAAACAGGGTCATAGGTCAGGTGGTCAGGGAAGGCCTCTCTGAACAGGGCACAGGTATGGATACATGGAAAGGTAAGTATTGTTTTGGGAAGGTCCAAACTGAACTGGGACCTGAATGATGAAAAGATCTTGGGAAGCAAAGTGCCAGGTAGAGGGAACAGCAAGTGCAAAGGCCCTGAGGTGGGGAAAGGTTGAATAAGTTTGAGGAACAGCGAGGAGGCCAGTGTGGCTGGAGCACAGCGAGCAGGGCAGTTGGCAAAGACCCAGCAGCTGTGGTAAGAACTTTATTCTGAGTGTAACAATAAGCATTGGGCATTAAGTAGCGGAGGTCTGTGAAGTGGCTGGCTCCGGATATTCCAGAGTTGAGAGAACTTGCTGGCTGTCTGAAGTGTGCAAAGTGAGGGAGAGAAGGAGGTTAGAGGACGCCTCCTGGGTGTTTGGTCCAAGTACCTAGGGGGAGGGGTGCCACTGGCCAAGATGGGGAGGAGCAGGCTTGGAAGGGAGGGACTGTGTGAATGAAGTTTAGGGAAACTCCCAGTGCTTGTGGAGCTTTCAAGAAGGTGGTTGCTTGGCTATGAGTCTGCAGAGACATTTGGGCTACGGATAGAAGTCAAGGTGCAGCCCAGACCAGGTGAGACCATCCTGGGAAAGAGTGTGGAGAAGAGGAGGTCCAAGGACTGTGCCCTTTAACGTGTAGAAGTTCCGGAAAGGCCCCTTTGAGATGTGAGAAAAGCAACTGCCAAAGAAAAAAATTCATAACAGACATCTTACTTTGATTTTGGGGATTTTCTTACCCAGGAAACCAAATATTAACCATAAAAATTCCTGACCAAATCCTGCCAGTGGCTTTTTTCACCCTATGTTGCTAATCTTTTCTTTCCTATTAGAAGCCAGGCTTACTTAATTTAAATTTTAAAAGGTGTCATGGCTGCAGGTGGGTGGAGGGCAAGAGACCACCTTGTGACCTGAAAACAAGCAAACAAACCTGTTGCCTTTGAGCTGATTCCAACTCCTAGCGCCCTATAGGGTTTCCAAGGAGCAGCTGGTGGATTCAAACTACCAACCTTTTAGTTAGCGGCCAAGTTCTTAACCACCTTACCACTGGGGCTCCTGATAGCCCTTGATTTCAGTAAAAGGGGGAGGGCAGGGTTCAATCAATCATGTTAAGATTAGCCAATGGTCGATGTTCTATTCTTCTCCCTCCTCTTCTCTTTATAAGCTCCATTTATAAACTACTTCAAGCTATTTGCTTTTTTTTGGAATCATAATAGTCTCTCTATATGCATATAAGGAGCTCTGGTGGTGCAGTGGTTAAGCACTAGACTGCTAACCAAAAGGTCGACAGTTCAAACCCACCAGCCGCTGCTCCACAGGAGAAAGATGTGGCAGTCTGCTTCCGTAAAGATTACCCCCCCATTGCCATCAAGTCGGTTCCAACTTACAGCGTCCCTGTAGGACTGAGTAGAACTGCTCCATAGGGTTTCCAAGGATGTAATCTTTACAGAAGCAGATCACCAGCTCTTTTCTCCCTCGGAGCCACTGGCAGGTTCAAACCACCAACCTTTTGATTAGCCGCCGAGTGCTTAACCACTGCACCACCAGGGCGCCTTTCTGTAAAGATTACAGCCTTGGAAACCCTGTGGGGCAGTTCTACTTTGTCCTGCAGGGTCACTATGAGTTGCAATGGACTCAACAGCAATGGATTTGGGTTTTTGGGTTTATATGCATATAGAATAACCGCTCAGAATAAAGCTTATGTTTTAATTTGAGTTTTTATTATTTTTAACACAATGAGAAGCTCTTCCTTGAAAAATGCACCCAACATTCATACATCTTTTGATTTTGTACAGCTTTGGGGAGGTTTTCCCATTGCCATCGAGTGGATTCTGACTCAAAGCTACCCTACAGGACAGAGTAGAACTGCCCTGTAGGGTTTCCAAGGAGCGACTGGTGGATTTGAACTGCCGACTTTTTGGTTAGCAGCCGAGCTCTTAACCATTGTGCCATCAGGACCCCAGAAAGCCCTTTCCGGGTTTTCAGGTTAAGAACCTGCCCAGCCTCATGGTCTCATGGAGCGGGTAGCAGATGTACAAATGATGACACCTTAACTGTTTCTTGCAGAAGTATCGGTGTCTGAGCATGGAGTCAGCACTTACAGAGATCATCACTCACCTCCCCACCTCTCCTTACCGCCACCTCCCTCCCCCCACCCTTGGTGGCTGAGCATTCCACGCTAAGATTTCGCTGTCACTGTTGGATGCCTGAGAGCATGGCTTCTGGAATCAGCTGTGTGGCCTTTGGCAGGTAGCTCACCTTCTCTGTGTCTAAATGCGATGAATTACATAAAGCAGAGTGAAATAAAGACCTCAGAGAGGAGATAAGACCTTGGGTTCAGTTCCCAGCTCTGTCGATTACCTGTGACCTTGGCAAGTTCTTAACCTTTCTAAAAGGCTAAAGATAGCCCTCTTTTGTCAGCTGGGGCTGTATGTCCAAGAGATAAGCCATGTAAGATTGTGCAACTGGAGCCTGACAGGTGTTAACTGCTCCTGTCAAAAAAGGCCACCCATCTCCCTTCCAAAAAGCAAAGCAAGAAACTTTTCTGAAGGGGAACATGAGGATGGGGTCTTCAGCAGGAGCTGTACAAGGTAACAAAGAGGGCAACAAATGACCGTGGGCAAGTGCTTGTGAGAAACAATTTTTATTTTCCAAAGACCCCTTCTTGGCTCACTTGGCTCAGCTGCCCTCTGGGAAATTGACAAAAGTGGTGGACCCTCTGCCCAGCAATCCCCTACTTAGCATAAAATTTCTGGGACTTCTTAAAACCTCTGAACCAAAATCCAACCAAACCCACCGCCATCGAATCCATTCCAACTCATAACGACCCCATAGGGTTTCCAAGGCTATAAATCCCTATGGAAGCAGACTGCCACATCTTTCTACGGCAGACCTCTGAAAGCCACCATCATCTCCTGGCTGAACAGCCGAGAGGAAAAAGGGAGGAAATGAGAAGTCAGCAAAGTGATCACCCTTGAGGGGATTAAATGGCTGCCCAGAGGTTGCTGGGGGGCGGAGGAAGCTCCGCCTCCTGACCAGTGCTGATGACTCGGTCATGTTTAATTTGTGAAGTCATGGAGCTGTACACTTATGTACATGATTTATGCACAAATATATGCATATTATACCTTGGTTAAGAAATAAATAAGATCCAACGTATTAGAAAAAGGTTTGGCAGGATACACTCTGAATGGCTGATAATGGCATTTCTACCAAGTGGGACTGTGGCACCCTCCACTACGCCAAACCCTTATGCATTGTTTGGATTTTGTTTTTTACAATCACTGTAAATTATTTCAGAATGAGGAAAGAAAAATTTTTCCAAGGTGATACAGTGGGTGCCCAGTAGAACTTTCTCCCGTGATGGCAATGTTCTATCTCTGCAGTCCAACACAGTAGCCCCCAGCCACGTGTGGCTATTAAGCATTAATTAATTACAATTAATTTAATAGCCACATGCAGCTAATGGCTATAGTACTGAACCTACCGTGCTGGTCTAGGGCAGAGCATAAGGGAATTTATCATATTCTTGCAACTTTTCTGTAGGCATGAACATTTTTCAAAATAAATCTGTTTTTAAAAAGAGACCTAGTTTAAAGCTGAAGGACAAGCACAAGGAGACAATGACAAGGCAGAAGCACTGGCATTATCGGTAGCTTTATTAAATTCTTTTACCTTCTAAAAAAGGATTACAAAAAGGAATACTTCATTTAAGTGTAATACTGTCTTTATGAACGTACCGTGGTCAGAAAGTGAAAATAAAGGTCATGAATATATGTGAGAAAAGAAGCCAGGGCCCCTGTGGCCTACCACCCGAGCCCATTAGGTATGGAGAGAGAGGAAACCGCCTGGATAACCAGGGACTTATCTGGGGGGAGTCAAGAGCTTCTGGGCCAATAGCTGCTTCTAGGAGCTTAAAATAAACGTACTCATGGGCTCATTGGAGATACAACTCTTGTACCGCTTTTTAAAGCTGCCCGAGGCCTCAGCCTCCCTCAGATACTGGTGGTCATCCCCAGTCTGGGTTTTGTTTTCTCTCCAATTCACACGCGCACACATGCACACAGTCTTGTCTGTCTTGTGTGCTCATCCAAGCTCTTTTGTCTTAGGTACACCCCATAAAGAAAAATCAAAGCAGGCCAGGCTACATGAAGCCAAGGAATCTACTTTTCTAGGAGAGAAGCCAGCACTTAGCTTTACTGAATGAATGTTTAAACTTTTAGGGCTTACTTTGCCCTGCTGAGGTTTGGCTCCGAAGTCCTGAAGGCTGAGCTGGGAACTGGCTGTGCGGGGGTGAGGGGCAGGACGTGGATTTGGTTAGGATCTTATTCCCTGATCCCAAGGCACAAATAGAGGCTCTGAACTCTTCTAGAGTTCCTGGGCTGCTAACCAAAGGGTTGGAAGTTGGAGTCCACCCTGAGAGCCTTGGAAGAAAGGCCTGGCCGATCTACTTAGGAAAAATCAGCCATTGAAAACCCTACGGAGCACAGTTCTACTCTGACACACAGAGGGGCTTCATAAGTGGGTGTCGACTCGACAGCAAGTGGTTTTAGAATCCTTCCTTTTTCCTGTTCATAAAGGAAAGAAAATGGTATCTTGAGATTCTGGGGAGAAAACAGGCCACGGAGGAAACAGTTTCTCTGATGAGCCCCATTTCCAACTGGCTTCGTTCCAGGCAGCCCTGGAAGCCGCTCGGCTGGGAAAAAACCAGCTGCCCTTGTTTGGTTTTCGGCAAAGCCCCGTCTCTTTAAGTTTGCATTGCAAGTCCTGTGGGGGCAGCCAACTTTTAATCGAACACACATGGGACTCTTGGACTCGCCCTGTGCTTTGCCAGCAGGCACATGCCCTGTTTTCTTTCCTGTGAGGAGATAAATTCTGGAGCCCTCAGGAAGAAGAGGGTGGCCATGCTCCCCGCAGTTCTGGGCCCAGGAGCCAGGCGGTCACTCAGAGAACTGGATTCATGTCTTGCATCTCCAGACCTGAAGAATTTTCTAGGAAAATCAGTGTTGGCTAAGTAAGGCCTTTCTGAGTGGGGAGGGGATGTGTTTCTGGTAATTTCTCGACACGAATTGATTAACTACAGGTCTCAGGGCCCGCTAGGCTCTGTGTCTTGGCCTTAGGGGTCTGAGCTCCCCACCTGAATGGGGGGAAGGCTGGCAATGGTAAGCAAGAAGACACTGAGCTTTCTACCTGGGTGACAAGGCCAGCATCTGTTTTGTTAAAGAGACCAGAAGAAAATGCCCCCAAGAAAATTGTGGGGAGTGGACAGAGCAGTATTATACACCCAACAATTAAATGTGGGGGTGGGGTGGGGGGAGACAAAGCCACTTGTGCATAGTAACATTTAGATATACAATTCCAGTGACTTTTAAATTTGCCAACAAATAACATGATTCCCCCCCTCCCTTAATGATTTAAAAATACACTGTTTTTTTCCTCTCATCCTCCTCCATCCACAATTGCCAGCTTATTGTTCTGAATGTTCTTCATAAAACTCACGCCCCAGCATCAGCCACTGGCGCCAATTTATACAAGAATTTAGCTTCGGTCTGTGCTGTGGCTGCTTTGAACTGGGGTAACAGGAAAACAGGCTTTGAGTCCCCGTTTCAGTCGGGAGCTCCCCTGGGGAAGCAAAAGAGAAATCCATTTGCTTTGGAGACTGGGGCCTTGGGGGGTGCGAGTAGGGGTGGCCTAGGAGAAGAGGGGGTACAGGGGAGACCAGGGAGGGCTCGCTCTGGGGCCGACTGGCCCCCTGAGGGGAGACATATGTAGCTGTCCCTCAGGGCTACGCTTCTGCAGAGGAAGATGCAGGACTCTCGTCATCCGACATCGGGGCAAACTGAAATGAGAAACAGAATTCCTTTTGTTGGGTATTCTTTCAAATATCTCTGAGGTGCCAACTCTGTGGAAGTGGCGGTGAATGGTGAGCAAGAGGGGCAACCCTGGGCCTCCAGGAGGTGGAGTTCTGGGGGAGATGCCATGAGAAAGCAAACACAAATGCAGTAGAGGATTTTCCTCAGGGAGAAGGGAAGAAGTGGGTCAGGGCGAGTGACGTCTGTCTGAGCTGACCCCTGAACCCCTATGCCGAGGGGCCAGCCATGAAGGGTCTGAGGGAAGGGTGTCCAGGCAGAGGAAAGAGCAAGTGCAGAGGCCCCGATGTGGGAACAAGGAAGGAGTGAACAAGCGGGAAAGGAGGGAGAGAGGCAGATGCTGAGGGCAGGGAGGGAACCTGGCAACAGTGCAGGGCCTGGTGGGCTTTGGGGAGGACTTGGGCTTTTATTCTGAGTGAGATGGGAGTGATGGAGGGTTGTGAGCAGAGGAGGACTCAGGACCTCTGGCCACTGTGGGGACAGCCTGCGGGGGATGACAGAGGGAGAGGGCGACTAGGGCAGAGGGTAGGTGTTGATGGAGGCATTAGGGTTCGTCTCTCAGGAGTCCTTGGGGGCAGGACCACAGATCAGACGGCAGGAGGGCTGAGGACATCACTTGCCCCATCACCCCCATTTTACAGGTGAGGCCACGGGGTCCCAGAGCTGATCCCCAGCAGCACCAGACTGTGGCCAGCTGTGCTGAGCTCAGGGTGCAGGGTGAAGCCTGACAAACTCCAAGCTGCAGTACAAACCTAGAAACCAGGTGGAGACAGCGGGTTTCCGTCTCAGCAGCCTTCTGTCTCCCGGACAGTGTGGGGACCACTGTGGCCGACACCCACCATGCAACCCTTGAACCCAGCCCCAAATGTGCCTCAGCAGGGAGGGGTGAGGACTGAGGGGCTGCGACGCTGCCTGCCCAAGGTTCTGGCGCCCCTTCCTGGCTGTAAGCCTCTGGGCCAGAGTTGTAATAAGCCCTCTAAGCCTCAGCTTCCCCACCTGAAAAACGGGAATAACAGTACTTTATGCAATTGAATGAGAGTTCAGCCTATTACGTGAGGACGGTACCGACTACACAGTCCATCAGAGTGGAGGGTTAGCCTCCTGCAGCAGATGAGGCTCTCGCTCTCGGGACCTGTCTCCTCCACCTGACTGGGAGGGCTTGCCTCCTCCATCAGGCACTTAGAACACAGTGAGTAACATCATTATTCCCTGGTTACATTTCCGAAAAAGTGTTTTGCTAACAGGTATGAATTAAAAATCCCAGATTTCTGTGCTCAAATAAGAGGAATGCTGGGTTAGACACAGTTAGGTTAGGCTTCTTTTCAGCGAGACTTCTCAGGGCCTCCAATATACCAGCATGTTTTGAATAAGCGCTAAAATCCTCCCTGCAGCCCCCAAGGTCCTGCATGACCTGCCCCGTCACCCCCATCCTCCTCTGATCCTCCGCTCTTCGCTCCAGCCACCCTGGCCTCCCTGGTGCTCCTCAAACATGCCAGTCAGGGACTTTGCACGGACTGTTCCTCTGCTTGGATAGCCACACAACTCGCTCCCTTGCGTCCTCAGGCACCTGCTCAGATGTCACCCCCTCGCTGAAACCCAAACTAGCTCCCCTATCACTTGCCGCCGCTTTGACTTCTGTTTTCTTTTTTAAAAAATAATTTATTTATTGTTGCTGTTGAAAATATACACCACGGAAAGTACACCAACCATTTCTACATGTACAAGTCCCTGACATTGGTTACATTCTTCAGGTTGTGCAACCTTTCTCACTCTCCTTTTCCGAAATGTTCCTCCCCATTAACATAAACTCACTGCCCCTAAGCTTCCTAGCTAATCTTTCCAGTTGCTATTTCTACTTTACTTTTTTTTTTTCTGGCTCTGTTTTCTATTTCTTCTCAGCACTTACCATCACCTGGCTATCGTACACTGATTTTGCTTATTGCTTCTCTTACGAGAACGTCCACTCCATGAGGACAGATACCTTTTCTGTTGTGTTCACTGTTGTGACTGTCACGGCCTAGAACAGGGCCTAACACACAGCTGGTGCTTGGTAAGTATTAGTCAAATGAGTGAATGCTCATAAAGAGTATGAATTGGGATGCAGACGGATCTGGGTTCGAATACTGCTATGCCAACCATGACTAGGCGACCTCAGTGCTGCAGGCCTTGATGGTTCAACGAGCAGACGACTGTAAAGTCCTTGCCATGTGCCCCTCGGGCACCATCGGCTCTCCATGGACATCTGTCCCCGCCCGAGCCCTCCCCACCGACTCCCTGCCTGAGTCGGGACTCACCGAGCACTTGATGTTCATGCGGGAGTACAGCATGGACGCGATCTCACTCTGCCCTGCATCCAAGGCCACCATCAAAGCTGTGCTCCCGTCCTGCAAAGCATCCGCTGCTGTGACGACACCCGCACAGCACTCCCACCCTCCCCGGGCGTGTGTCTGGGTGGGGACTCACGCGGTCAGTGAGCACGATGTCGCAGCTAGGCTCTGCCAGCAGCAGCCTGGTGATCTCCTTGTGGCCGTGCTCACAGGCGCACATCAGGGCCGTGGAGCCATCGTCGTCCTGCACATTGACATCCGCCTTGCAGGCCAGCAGGGCTTTGACCACGTCCACTCGCCCGTGGCTGACTGCCAGCATCAGGGCTGTCTGCCCCGCCTGGGCAAGGGAAGGAAAAGGCTTATGGTCCACACAGGCCTGAGGGCATGATGCCCCTGCTCCGGAACCTACCATGGCTCCCAAGTACTCTGACGCTAACACGCACCCTCCTTTACTGGCCTCCTGTATCTCAAGCATGGAAACACCCTTCCCACCTCTGGGCCTTTGTACCTGCTGGTCCCTTTGCCTTCTGCTGGCAGCTCCTTCTCATCCTTCAGGTCTTAGCTTAAATGTCTCCTCCTCCATGAGGCTCTCCTTGACTGTGCCCCCCCCCCATCTAAAGCAGATTCCTAACTCACAGGTATAAACGTACGTAACAATTTTTGAGCTAATTTTTAAGCTCGTAAAAGAATCTATGAGCTAAGATGTGCACACTTTTCTGCATCTCAGTTAAACCTCAATAAAAAATCAGTAAAAACAAAAATAATAAAAACAAAGCAGGGCCGCTCCCATTACGCCCCATCACAGCACTGTTTCTTTCCTCGATTGCATTTAGGTGGCTGCTAATCCGGCCCTCCTTGCTGTCCCCATCTGGTCCTGGCTGCCTTTCTTTTTGGCCTGGACACCCGCCCAGGCCCAGTCTCGCCCATGGTCTCCAGCTTCCGCTCTCTGGCACACGGTCCCTCACAGCGGCGGACAGGGCTTTCAAACCAGGAATCAAGCCATGCAATTCCTCTGCTTAAAATCCCTGTGGTGGCCTCCTGTAGCCCCAGGAATCCAAACCTGCCCCAAGGCCCTGTACTGCCTTGAAATGCTCACGTCTCCTGGAATTCGCCTGCTAGTTGGTGAGCTGCAGGAGGGTGGGACCATGTCTGTGCGCCCACCATCTGAGTCCCCAGTGTCCAGCCTAGTCAACCCCGTTGTTGCTCAATGAATGACCAAGAAGGACAAGGGATGGTGTTGGATTAAGAAAGGCTGGGGACCTACGTGTCATCCCACCCCCCTTTCCACAAGCAGTTCCTGAATGAGATGCAGCCTGGAAGGGGCTCTGACTTATATGAAATGGGCAAATGTATAGAGACCACAGCTTATCAGTGGTTACCAGGGGTGGGAGGAAGGGGAGGGGGGAGTCATTGCTTAGGGGACACTGAGTTTCTGTTAATGGTGGTGGAATAATTTGGAACAGAAAATTGGCAATGGTTGTACAATATGATGAACATAATCAATGTCACTGAACTGTACAGGTAAAAATTGTTGAAATGGCAGGTAAATATATATTTTTACCACAATTATTGTTAGGCACCACTCAGTCAGTTCCGACTCGTAACGACCCTTTGTACAACAGAACGAAACACTGCCTGGTCCCGTGCCATTCTCACAATTGTCTTTATGCTTGAGCCCATTGTTGCAGCCACTATGTCAATCCATCTCGTTTTGAGGGTCTTCCTCTTTTTCACTGACCCTCTAGTTTACCAAGCATGATGTCCTTCTCTAGGAACTGGTCCCCCCGATAACATGTCCAAAGTAAAAGGGGGGTGGGCCTGGAGCTAGACCACCAAGGTTCAAATCCTGGCTTCTCGGGTTTGACCTCGGGGAAATGACTCTTCTTCTCTGAGCCTCACTTTCCTCGCCTGTGGAATGGGGACTCTTCTCCAGGCATGGATTGAGGTCACGTCTGGGCTTGGTGCCCAGCCACGACCTAATAAAGGCCCAAGGGCCCCGTACCTGGCTGGCTTTGGCATTGACGTCTCCAAGCCGGAAGAGCTGCAGGACTGTCTCTATGTCATCCTGGGTCTTCAGAGTAGCCAGGGCGGTGAGCATGATGGGGCTGTAGCCGGCACGGTTCTGCTTGTCTACCTGGCAGACACCTGAGTGGGGTGGAGCAAGGTGGGTGTAAACCCCCAGACCCCACACATGCTGGCCAGGCCTGTCTCAGGGCTGGGGGAGGCTCCTGGAGGTCCAGGCCATGTCTCCATCATCAGACTGGAAGCTTTGTTTCACCCTACCACAGTGAGGGTGGAGGGTCAGCCCCATGTCTGTCTCCTCCTTCCATCTACACATTGCCTCATGTCTCCCTTTTCTCAGTTTGAGGACCCCATTATGCTCCAGGGGTCTCCATCTGCATAGACTAAGGGCTCCTAAAGGTGGAGGTAGAGCCTCCTTCATCAGACTGGGGGCCCCTTAGGTTGGCCCCCACATTTGGGGCTGAGAGTAAGAGCTGCGTCTCCTCCATTAATCTGGAAGAGCCATTCATGCTTCAGACGGGCCCATTTCTCCTCCATCAGACTGTGGACTCTGCCTCATTCATCACACAGGCAGGCCATGTTCCCATCAGATTGGGGAAGGGCAAGTTTCTCCTGCCTAATTGAGAATCACATCTTTTCTCCAAGCCATAGATTAAAGGTCACGTCCTTTTCTCAGACTGGGGTCCAAAGGTGTCACCTCCATTATACTGGGGCCCTTGAAAGGGCCACATCTTTTCCATAAGACCATGATTTCTACCTTTTTCACTATACTGGGGCTAAAGGTAGGGAACCATGTCTCCCTCATGAGACCAGGAGGCCGGCGTCTCCCCCTCAGACTGGGAGGGCGGCATCTGTCCCCTCAGACTGGAAGGGCAGTGTCTGCCCCCTCAGACTGGGAGGGCGGTGTCTCCCCCTTCAGACTGGGAGGTGGCGTCTCCTCTCTCAGACTGGGAGGGCGGCGTCTGCCCCCTCAGACTGGGAGGTGGTGTCTCCCCCCTCAGACTGGGAGGTGGTGTCTCCTCTCTCAGAGTGGGAGGGCTGCGTCTCCCCACTCCGCCTGGCTCGCCCAGCTCACCACTGTCAAGCAGCTGCCGCACCACGGGGAAGTTGGCGTGAGACACAGAGTAGTGCAGTGCAGTGTTGCCATTGCTGTCAGCGATGTTGACCACGTAGTCTAGCAGCCGCGCTGACATGGCCCGGAACGTGACCAGGTGGCGCCGCACAAGCTCAGGCTGTGCGTCGCTGCGGCAAGCCAGGCGTAGCCATTCCTGCAGCACCGTGGTGTAGGCCACTTTCTGGACACAAGTCAGGCAGGTGGGGGGAGGGGCGTGAGGATAAGACAGTCTACCTCCTGCTGGACAAGCCCTCAGAAAGGAAGTTGTGGACATCCTCATCCTGAACAAGACCCCTGAAGGGAAAGTGTGGACACCCCACCTCACATGAGCCCCTTGGGGTGAAGACACTGCCATCCCAGATAAGACCCTCAAAAGGAAGTCTAGACACCTCACTTCCAGATATGCCCCCCAAGTGTGGACACCTCCATCTGGATAAGGTCTTCAAAGGGAAGTGTAGACGTCCCCAGAGGGAAATATAGACAGCTTCCTCCTCTCAAGCCCTCAAAAGAATAGGAACCACAGAGCTCCAGGCTTGGCCCGCAGGCGTCATCCTCAGCCCCCTCCCCACCTCTCTGGCCCCTCTCCAAGGCCAGTGACCCAAGTGCCACCCATCCCCAAGCTCCTGGTTTCAATCTCAGGGCCCCTACAAGGCAGAGGAAGACACCCAGAATGAGGAGAAGCTGCGGGTATAGGGGGCACCCAGCCTACAGCCTGACCATACCAGCTCCCGCTCCGTGAGGGCATTGGGGTTGTCCAGGTACTTTTCCAGGGCCAGACAGGCAGAGATGAGGTCTGGGCTTAGCTCCATTCTGTTAGGGCAGATGAGAGGGGAGTTTAGTTTGGGAGCACCCACCTCAGCCTCCTGGGTCCCCCTCACTCCCCACATCCACATCCATCCAACTCTCTCCACCGCAGCACCCACAGTCTGCCAGTGGTCCCCTGAATGGTGGGATTTCAGGCAAGGCCCTCAGCCAACACATTCCCTCAGACCCCCTCCACCAGGGAAACACTTTCACAATTTACCTCAAGGGGCAGAAGTGGAAAACACATAGACCCCGACAGAATGTAAACTCAAGGCCAAAGTTTATTCCAAGTGGTCAGTGGCAGATGGAAAGTAATTTCCCATGGGCAGTTTACATCAGGAAAAACCAAGAGAGAAAAACAGGATGGGCAGGCAGGGTGGGTGGGTGGTTTCAGATAAACTTTTTCCCCTAAACCCTAACCCCAACAGCCTGAACTGCCCCCATCAGGCCCTTTATCAAAACTTCTAGACCTTCAGATACCCAGGAGAAAGTGCTTGTTTGCTAATTCAGACTAAGGTGTGCATGACTGATGATGGGTAGTTCCCTCAGGGGGCTTAAATAGTGGAGTTTGAGGCAGAGGTCACCCATCCCTGGCCCTGCCTGAATCCCTCCCATCCAGAAAACTAACCGGATCTCCTCTTCTACATTTGACCCTGATGCCCCCTCAGCCGTGGGCACGTGCTGGGATTCCTGAGACAGACGGCATTCCTGATGGCTGGTCTTGGCCACTGCCGTCTCCGTGGGCCTGAGCTGGGGGGCTTTGGCCACACTGGGAACCCTCTCCTCTGGCTCTGGAGTCTCACTCTTCATGCTCTCGTTGTCTGAGAAGTTCTCCGTTGTGCTGGAATCCTCAGACGAGGACTCATACCTGGGGAGGAAGAACAGACAGGTGGGGGGAGATGCAGCAGATGGGACGGAACTCGGCGAGGAAGGGCATGGGGTACTGGCTACTTGCCCGCTGTGGGCCTCAGTTTTCTCATCAGTTAAATGGAGATGACAGCAGTATTGGCCTTGCAGGGCCACGGGGGAGGTGGCTTAAAGCACCTAGCTCATAGTGAGTGCCCAAAAACATGCGCTGTGATTGTGACTCTGTTTGGATGAGGAAAGGGTGGGGAATGTGGGGGGGTGGTCCTCTTACCCGCCATTGACCCCCACGAACTGGAGGCTCCTCCGGTGGGCTGCCGGGTCAGTCAGCTCCTCTTTCCGCTTCATGATGGACTGCACGCCTGCCTGGGGCACACCTGGGGGAGCGGGGGCATTGTGAGGGCCCCTCACGGAGACCCTGTGCCCGGGCCTCCTGGTGCCCTGTCCCCCTCATGGCTACTGCCACTTACCTGTACCCCCAGCCTCCTCCGATTCACTTGGGGCTGTTCGCCTGGTAGGCTCCCTGTCGCTGGCATCATGGGCGGGCACCTCGCCTACATTCTTCCCTAGCTGTGCCAGGGAGGCCACTGTGGACTCAGGGGGTGATAAGGGCGACTCTGCAGGACCCTGTCTGAGACCTGGAGGGGCAGGAAAAGAGGCATCCACTGTGGGTTATAGCAGTAAATCAACAAACAGTAATAATGGCTGCCTCTTGTGGAATACGTGCCAGGGGCCAGGAGCTTTCTGTGTTACCTTGTTAAGCCTTCCTGGCCCACAAAGGAGGAAACTGAGGCACAAAGGTTACCTGAGGTCACCCAGCAAGTGAGCGGCAGAACCCAGTTCCAACCCTGATCTGTTACCTGCCCGACAGCTGGTCAAGGACAAGGAAGACCTTCTGACCCCAAGATCCTGGCTCGTGACCCCCACTCCAACATTGCACCCAGTGTTCCCTGGAAATGAAGTTTGATCACGGCCAAGCACGGTGCTCATGGCACAGACTTGATTCTTGGTTTCCCCATATAGGAGCTGTGTGACTTTTGGCAAGTCATTTAACCTCTCTGTGCCTCAGGCAGATGACAGTTCCTAAGGCTTAGAACAACACCTCCACATCACAAGCACTCAAGAAGCATTTGTCTATTCCAGAGAATTGTAAATCAAATTTTGATTTATTATTGTTGCTATAATTTTTTCTCACAAAAGCAGGGTTGTGTTATGGATATCACTTTGTGGCCGCCTCATTTTCTCCTTCTTTATTTAGCATTAAGCAGGTACAGGCATTATTTTAATCACCAGGAAAAAGAAACAATAAAGACTATTAGACGATTAAAATGAAAACCCCTCTCAGCTGATCTGAGGATAAAGGTGGCCTCCTGGGCACGAGGCCCCGCAGACGCCCACTGCGAGCCTGTGAGCAGGAAGCTCCAACTCCTCAACCCCGGCCTGAAGCACACAATAAAGGTCTGATTTCCGCTTCAAGTGCTTCGGAACCACTCAGGCTCCCCCAGGCCACATGCAGCTTCTGTGGCACCACTTCTCTAGGACTTTCTCTTCCTGCCACTGGCCACAGACTCTGAAGACCAATTAATTTTAATTCTCTTTAATGGTTAAAATACTTGTTTGACATACACAGGAACTACTTCCTCAAGTCCATGGGTGACACTCAACTTCAATAATGAAGAGCGGAGTCAATGGCTCCACAGCAAAGGGGGAGAACGGGGCGGGTCTGCAGTGGACCCTTGGGCAGATTCCAGAGCTGGGGCTCAAACTCACAGGGAGGGTGGGGGAGCTCCTGATGTTTTAACTTTGGCAATACATTTACATTTAACAAACACACTCTTTGTGTGGCCAAATAAAATGTGTCAGGAGGCAGATGGGCTAGCTCACAATCTCAATCTCTGCCCAAATTCAGGGGCTTCTGATTTAAAATCCTGGGAGGGTCAAAAAATGAGGCCACCCCAGGCCCATCTCACCTGCAAGCAAAGCAGGCCAAGCCTTTATCAGCTGACGCCCCTTCTAGCCCAGGTGTTCAAGGTTGGACATTGAAACTCCAAAATAACAACAACAAATAATACTAAAATTTTAACAAGTGTTATTATTGTTATTCCACAGGGGAACATGGCAAAGTGATACTGAAATTTATATGGAAGAATTAATGGCCATGATGAGCTAAGACAATTTTACAAAAGAGAAGCAAAGATGGAAACCCAGCCTACATGAGAGTAAAACATATTCCAAAGCCACAATTATCAAAACAGTGGAGTACTGTCACAGAAACAAACAGACCAAGGGAACAGACGAAACAGCCCAACACAGGCCCCATCTGCAGGAACTGGGGGGTGAGAGAGAGGGCGTTCTATGGGGAAGGATGAGGAAGGATGGGTTCTGTGGTGAACAACATTGGGAATAGTGGCTTAATTAACCCAAGAAGAATCAAGCTGGATCCCTACCTCACACCTTATTAAAAAAACCAAAAAAACTGTGAAGGGTTAATATGAAGGTACAACTATACAGCTAATGGAAAGAATTATAGCAGAACACTGGAAGCCTGAGAAAAGATTCCTTTCAAAAATTCCTCCAAGCACAACATGATGACTTTAACTATATCCAAAATAAAGATTTCTATTTGATTAGGAAAAAAAAAAACAAAAACCTCACAAAGTTGATAGAAGCGAACAGACTAGGGGAAAATATTCACCATATCAAAAATCAAAAATGGGCAAGGGATTACCTTCTAGAACAGGGGTCAACAAACTGTTTCTGTAAAGGGCCAGGTAGTAAATATTTTAGGCTTTGTGGGCAGTACAGTCTCTGTTGCAACTACTCAGCTTTGCAGTTGTAGCTCAAAAGCAGCCACAGACAATATGTAAAGGACTGGGTATGGCTGTGTTCCAAAAAAATTGGATTTCTTAGAATTTTGCTCATGTCAAAAAACAGTATTCTTCCTTTCATATTTTTCAACCTTTTAAAAACGTAAAAACCATTCCTAGCTTGTGGGCCATACAAAAACAGGTGGTGGACCAGATCTGGCCCACGGGCCATTGTTTGCCAACTCCTAATCTGGAATATGCCAGTAACTTCTGGAAACTTCCCGAAGAAAAATGAATAAGTGATTCACAGAGCACTCTTATTAAGCATATAAGGAGATGCCTAACCTCATCAGAAATAAGAGAAATGCAAATTTAAACAACAAGGAATACCACTTTGTACCACCATCAGACGGTCAAAAAATTAGAAAGTTGGATAAAACACATATTTTGAGGGGAGATACTTCAATCCATAATATTCCACCCTTTGGCCCCCCAAAATTCATGTCCTTGCCACATGCAAAACACATTCAGCCCATCACATCATCCCAGAAGTCTTAAATTAACTCCAAGTTCAAAATCTCATCTTCTGAAACATCTAAGTCAAATATGGGTGAGACTTTAGGCATATTCCATCCTGGGGCAAAATTCCTCTTCAACTGTGAAATCTAGATTACAAGTTAACTGTTTCCAAAGTACAACGGTGGACAGGAACAAGGGAGATATATCCATAACAAATGGGAGAAACTGGAGGGAAGGAAGGGATAACAGGCATCAGGCAGATCCAAAACCCAGCAGAACAATTTACCTTAGCTCTCAAGGCTTGAAGGTAATCCTCTGTTCTCTGAGACCATCTAGGTAATGGCCCTGCCTTCAGCGCTCTCTGGATTCCTGGTGGAGGTTCCTCGGCCCTAGGCTTCAATTCAGCTATGCTTTCCAGGCCCTCTGGGATGGCAGCTCTGCTCCCTTGGCTTTTGGTGGCCCCATTTTTCTAGTCCATCTGAGTGGTGACCCTACCCCTTGGCCCCGACAGGCCCCATTCTTCTGCCCCTTGGGCAACCCCATCCCGCTGGCACACTTTAATGGCAGCCCCACACTCTGGAACTGAGTTGGGGAAGATTCGACTCTTTGAGACCTAGGAGGCGGTGCCCCTACCCTTTGAAACTGAGAAGGCCTTGCTTCTGCTGATCTCTGAGCTGCTCCAGGGATGGTCCTTTTCTTTTCTTGGAGGACAAGAGATGTAGCACTTTTGGTCTGTTTCCTGCCTGTAGAATTCCAAGAGGCAGATAGCATTCTCTCCTTCTGTTCTTTCCCTGTCCCCTTCAGACTAAGCTGACAGGTTTTCTACTATGGTAGTTGGTTAGAGCCATCAGTCATAGGCTTCATCTCTTTAACAAAAGATTGTGTAGCCATGTCCTTGGTGAACATTCTAGGACGTGTCCTTAGTTTGTACACAAAATTTTCCAAATCTTTAAATTCAATTTTCGCTTGCACAGCTCATTTTTAAGTCTATCTCTTTCTCTTGCATTTTACTGTAAGGGGCAAGAAGAAACCACGCAGCCCCTTTAAGATCTTGCTTAGAAATCTCATCAGCCAGATATCCGAGTTCATCACTTACAAGTTCTACCTTCCACCAAATATCTGAACATAATTCAGACAAGTTCTTTGCCACTGCATAAAAAGCATCCCCCTTCCTCCACTGTCCAATCACATGTTCATCATTTTCTTTTAAAGCCTCACCAGAAGCACATTTAATGTCTACATTTCTAGCAATATTCTGTTGCTGGCGCCATATGTATTCTCTAAGACAATAGAGACTTTCTCTATGGCTCTCCTCACTTCCTTCTGAGCCCTCACCAGAACTGCCTTTGACGTCCATAATTCTACTAAAAGTCTCTTCAAGGCAATCTAGGCTTTTACTATTAGGCACCTTAAAACTCTTCCAGCCTCCACCCATTACCCAATTCCAAAACTGCTTCCACATTTTAGGTATATGTTAGAGCAATGCCCCACTCTTCCAGTACCAAATTCTGTCTCAGTTATCTAGTGGTGCTATAACAGCTGTTATAACAGAATTATCATCAGCGGGTAGCTTTAACAGAAATTTATTTTCTCACAGTTTAGGAGGCTAAAAGTCTGAAATCAAGGGCAGGCTTTCTCTGTCAGCTCTGGAGGAAGGTCCTTGTCTCTTCTGAGCTTCTGCTTCTGGGCAATCTTCATGTGGCTTGGCATCTCTATTCCCCCATCTCTGCCTGCTCACTTGTTTAATCTCTTTTATATCTCAAAAGAGATTGATTCTAGATACACCCTACACTAATCTTGTCTCATTAGCATAACAAAGACAACCCATTCCCAAATGGGATTATAACCAGAGGTATAGAGGTTAGGATTTACAAACCATATTTTTGAGGGACATAACTCGATCCATAACAGGAGGGATGTGGGGAAATGGGCGTCTTAGACTGGAACATGTCTGGTGGGAGTGTAGAGCTTTTTTGAAGAGGATTTGGAATGAAGTTAAGTCTGTGTTATCCCCTGTGACCGAGCAGCCCCACTTCTGGGAACGTAATCCTGAGGTCAAGAGGAGATGCATGAGGCGGCAGGACTTGCAAGTAACCCAGGTGCCCACCACAGGGGGACTGGATAATAAAAGTGTAGTATACGTCTAAAGCGGAAATCTACGCAGCCATTAAAAGTGACAAACCAGATTTACAAACAGGAGCATGGAGAGTTAAAAAATAGTATGCTGAGAAGAAAAAAAAGAAATAGAACAAGATTTTTTTTTCGTTTAAGCACAATACCATTTAAGGAAATTAAACACACACAGGGCATATTTTTAAGAACACTCAAGTATCTAAAGAAGCTTCTGGAAGGTGGGTTGCAAGGAATGCTATTAAATGGAAGTAGGTAGGAATTGATGGTGGGGTATTAACGGTGTAGAGCAGGGGTTGGCAAACTATGGCCATGGGCATGGATTTTACATGTTTAAATGGTTGGGGGACAAATGAAAGGATGAGTACTATTTGTGACACATGAAAATTACATGAGATTGAAATTCCGTGTCCACAAATAAAGTTTTATTGGCACACAGCCACACGCATTTGTTTACATATCATCTATGGCTGCTTTTGCACTACGAAAAAGCTGCTTAAGTGCTTTTAAAAATAGAATACAGCAGAGCTGAGGCAGAGGTGTCTGTGGCAGAGACCACATTGCCCACAAAGCTGAAAATACTCACCGACCCTCAGTGCAGAGAGCGGGAAGACAAAGGTAAAAAAAAAAAAAGTAAAACAAGAGCCGTGCCATGCACAGAACAACAGGTATGATTGCCATGAGCTGAAGAACTGGATTAACTCAATTTGGGGTTCCTCAAGTCCAAAAGAAATAATAAAAAAAGATTTTTTAATCACTCACCTACCCAGTGTGGGAAGGGTGTGAGGCCACAGGGGTGTAAAGCAATTTGGTAACAGACATCAAAGGCTTCAAAAATGCCCCTCCAGAAATCTGTCCAGAGAAAACAGATCAGAAGACTCGAGGGATTCTCATGGAAGGATGTCTGCATAGCACCGTTTATAGTGGAGAAAAATCAGATGCAATAGGATGGTCCAGCAGAGAGACAGACCAGTCAGGCACATCCCTATCTCCCTACTCCTCAGAAAATGATGCGGGCCTTAACAAACACATTGCGTTTCCAAATTATTTTTACTAAGGTAGGAAAATGCTCCTGGGATAATGTTAAATGGGAATCCAAGACAGAGCTTAAATTCTGGCTTGGAGAACCTTGAACAAGTTCCTTAATCTCCCTGTGCCTCAGTTTCCTCAACTGTAAATTGGGAGTAAAAACGCCACTCTAGGCATAGGGTTGCTGGATGTTAAATGAATTAAAATATGAAAAGGCATCAAATAACACCTGGCACTTAGTAAGGGCTGCTTACGTGTTTTTAAAATAGAATAAAGCAAAAACAGCAGCTTCTGTCAGCTTGGGGATGCCAGATTTGAAAAATACCTATTATTTTATGCATTAACTATTCGGAAGAAAAGAAACAGAAATGTTGACAACAGCCACATCTGGGGGTAGTGGGTTTATGGGGGTTTTATTTTTTTGTCTTAGATTTTTCTGTGCTTCCCAAACTTTCCACAAAGAACATGAATTGCTTTCATGGGAATATGTCTTGAACAAGAGCAGAGGAAATTTCAAAGCCTTCGGAAGATGCCAGGGGCATCCGAACCCAGCTGCCCCTTCTCCTACTGACGCTCCCTGTGGCACATGGGGCAGGGATGGGCTTTGTGGGAGCTCCAGGCCTCTGCCTGTCCCACCTTACTTTACCAGCCTGAGGGTAAAGGCTGCCTCCCAGCCTCCCTGCCCTTCGCTGCAGGGAGCAAACTCCCTGCTCTGCTGAAAAACAGTGGCCTCCCTAGATGGAGGCAGAGTTGAGCTTGCTACAGTGATCAGTCGATGAATCGATCGTATGGCCCACAAAGCTGAAATATTTACCGACTCTCAGCATAGAGAGGGAAAGACAAAGGTTAAAAAAAAAAATAACAAAGCAAAACAAAAGGAGTCCCTAGGTGGTGCAAACGGTTAACATGCTGGGCTGCTAACCAAAAGGCTGGCGATTCGAGCCCACCTAGAGGTGCCTCGGAAAAAAGTCCTGGCAATCTACTTTGAAAAAATCAGCCACTGAAAATCCTATGGATCATGGTTCTACTCTGACCCACATGGGGTCTCCAGGAGTCAGAGTCAACTCGATAGCAAATGGTTTTCACTAGATGACAATGAGGTTGTGCCCCCTTCCTTGCCTCTTCCTCCAGGGAGTCCTCCCGGACCTACCAGCTGAGCTCACTGACTTAACCAAATACAAAGTGTGAACACTGAGCACTTGTCGAATGCCAGTTCCTGATGCTCAGGCTCCCCCCACCTCACTTCCCGGGCTTCACATATTCCAGCTTATTCAACACCTTGAGAGCCCAAGCCCCTTCTCAGCTCAAGCCTTTGCCCTTGCTGTGCCTGCACCGGGAACACCCCTCCCCACCTTTGCCTCCTGGTGCCTGGCTTCTTCTCTCCTTTCAGATCTTGGTTTAAAGATGCCCCTGGGAGAGGCTATTAGAAGCAAAGAGCTAACCCTTGAGCATCTACAGCTGCTACTATTATGCTGAACACATGACACAAATTAATGCATTTAAGCTTTAAATTGACCTGCTAAAGTCGGGCTATCACGACCTCTGTTTTGCCGATGAGGAAACTGAGGCACAGAGAAATTAAGTAACTTTCTCAAGGGCACACAGCCAGGGAGCAGGGAAATCAGAATTGGAACCCAGGTCACCACGCCTCCAATCACCACCCACCCCATGCCCCTGTTTATTTCCTTCAAATGCTTATTCTCTGAAATTATGTTCTTCACTTATTTATTGTGGTCTGTTTCTTCATTGAAGAGGCTTTTGTCTGTCTTGTTCAATGGTGTGTCCCCAGGGGCTACAAGGGTCTGGTCCATAGTCGCCACTCGATAAATGTTTGTTGAATGAGAAGATACTGAATTAACACAATCCAGTTCCACTCAAGCAAGGCAGAGACTGGGGCTGGCTGCAGCAAGAGGGAGTTAAGTGAGACATGAAGAAGAACTTTTGCGGGTGCGGCCTGCATGGGGGAGGGACATTGCTATGTCTGCATGTCCTACAGGCAGGAGGCCCCATGGCTGCCCTGGGAGGCAGGTCTGGAACGGAAGTTGCCTCTTAGGGATCCCAAGGCTGGGCTGGGCCGCGCCCCTGGCTAGGGGCCAAAGCCACAGGGCCGGGTGTTTGGGATAGACACAAAACAGAGGGTGGTGGTGGAGGCAGCCAGGAAGAACACACACAAAAAAACACAGCTGGATCCCCGCCCTCTAGCCTGCGCTCTCCAGCCCTTCTGTGGGACCCTGGCCACCAGACATTCGAGGCTGGGACCAGGACTTGGGCCCCACCTCTGACCCCTGCTGCACGTTCAGGCTGATCTGGGTTTAGATCCTGACTTGACCACTTCCTGGCTGTATGACATGGGGCAAGTGAATCCCCTCCCTAAGCCTCAGTTTCCCCAGCTATAAACAGGGTTGGCCTGAAAATTATCATCACCACCAGCAGCAGCAACAAGCACTGACTGAGCACTTACTGTGTGTGTTAATTCACAATGGTCCTAGAGATGGGGGTCATTATCATGCCACTTCACACATGGGGAAGCTGAGGCCCAGAGAGGTGAAGCCACTCGCCCAGGGTCACACCGCAGGAAGTGGGATTCAAACTCAGGTTGCCTGGCTGCATGGCCCACATTCTTAGCCCCTCTATGGGCAAAGCACTCAGCACAACACCTGGCCCCCAGCTAGCGATGGATAAAGAACAGCTGTCATTATTACAAATTATTCTGGCAGCTTCTCTCCAGGGGTGGTGGCAGGGCAGCTGACATTCTGCATACCCGGTATTCCCTTTCCTGGCATGAGGACTCAGCACTTCCTCCAGGGAACCCCCCTTCCTCCTTCACAAGCCACAGGGCTTGGGTGGGGCTGCTTCACCCTCAGGCTCTGGGGCTGGGCAGTGAGGGACACAGTGACTGGCTGAGTAATGAGCAGATGATCCAAACCAGCCAATGACAGGCACCCCCGGGATTTTTACTGGCACTCTCTGGACCCAGGGACTTACTTTCCACTGAGCTGGATGCTAGCCTGAGAGGGAAGCCTGTCTGAGAGACAAGCCCCCAGGGTGGACAGAAGAAGAAAAAGACAGTGAGATTTCTGATGACATCTGAGCACCTGGATCCAGCTATGCCTAAAGCTGTCACTAAGTAACATGAACCAACACGTTTCCTTTTAATTGCTTAAGCTGGGCGGGGATTGGTTCCTACCACTTACTGAAGAAGTAGAGAAGGCCAGAAAACCGAAAGTTTTGAGGATGCTCCCCAAAATATCTCCTATTTTCTGGACACCTTACAACATGCCAGACACGAGGACAAGTACTTAACAGAAACCCAATGGCCCCAAAAAATCCGGAGGCCACTGGCACAATTCTCCCCCTTTTGTAAATGAAGAGACAGGCTCCAAGAGCTGTAGTCATCTGTCTGGTGGAAGGCCAGAACTGTGCTGGACCCTGGTGTTCAGAAGGTCCAGCCTGAGCAGTGTAGAAAGAGGGACCCCACCCGGCCTCCCCTGCCTGCTACCGCTCACCTGCTGCCCCATCACAGCCGCGCTCCGTGATGCTGATCTTCTTCACCATGTGGACGTTGCTGGTGGACGCAGTTGGTGCTAGGAAGGCTGTCTCCACCACCTCGTGGCTGCGGAACACAGGGGGGCTCTCGGCCCTGCCGGATGTAGCCAGGGCCCGCAGCCCTGTCCCATAGGGCTCCAGACTGTGGGCCCGCTGCGCAGGGGCTCCAGCGGCTGTGCTGGCCGCCACCTCCACCTCCCGCGGCCCCTCCACCACCCGGACGGTGTCTGCGCGGACTGGGCTGTCTGGCGGTGGCCGGACCTGAGCTGCCTGCAGCTCCTGTAGTGCTTTTTTGAGCTGTGTCTCCAGCACAGCAACCTTGGCGGCGAGAGCCGCCTCCCCATCGGGCATGCCCAAGTCCCGCTCTCGAACCCAGGTGCCCACACTCCGGGTCTCGAGTGCTGCCGTGTCCTCGGGGGGCTCAGGGAGGTCTAGGCAGAGCTCGCTGCGGCCTCGGGCCCCTGTAGGGTGGCCCAGAAATTTCTGGCTCTTGAGCTGCACCGTGAGCTGCCGCTTCTCCTCCTGTAGCACCGACAGCTTCACCTGGAGCACAGGGATCAGCTTCACCTGCTCCTCCAGCTGCCGCAGCTTCCGCAGGGCACCTGCCATCTGCTCCCGCACATGCGCCAGGTGTCCCGCGCTGGGCGGCACCGGCGTGGACAGTCCTGATCCCCGTGGTGTTGGGGGTGGCAGCCCCACGCCCACCAATGAGCTGGTTGAGCCAGCCGCACTGGGCGTCAGGGAGCCCAGGCCAGGGGGTGCGGCCGCTTGGTCCTCAAGGCGGCGGCGGGCATCCAGCAGGGTACGCTCAACACGCGGATTGATGCCAGTGCGGGAGTCCAGAGCACCATACTGCGGGTAGAAGCCGCGGCCGCAGTAGGAGTAGGCCGAGTGGCGGCTGTCCCCACTGGCATTGGAGCAGAGGGACTCGGTGGACGTCCACCAGGATCCAGGGCCGCGAGGCAGAGAGCCGAGGCGGGGGCGGCGCTGCACAGCCACCCGCCGCAGAGTGTGCCCCTTCTCGATGTCGTCCACGTACTTGAGGAAGTCCAGGTCGAGGCGGTAGCCATAGGGCGTCTCCACGGAGTAGGGTGGGTCGGGGTCTTTGGCAGGGAAGGTGGGTGGGGAGGCTGGGCCAGGAGTCCCTGGGGTGGAAAGAAACGCCAGCATCTCTGAACACTGCTGTTCTCTTCTGTGCTGAAGACCGAAGTCCACCGAGTTCTCAACCTGCTCTCAGCCTCTGAACTACCCATCAGGTCTCAGATCCCTCCCAGGGGAATGCTCTGTCTCCCCCAACTCCCAGACCTCTGGGGCATGGCCGTGCCTTCCCCCACTCAGACTCTGCAGGGCAGGACTATGCCTCCCCTCTCAGACCCTCTAGGGTAGGTCTGTACCTCCCCTCTCAGACTCACCAGGGCAGGACTGCGCCTTGCCCCCCTCAGACTTTCTAAGGCAGGGCCATGCCTCTGCCCTTAGACTCTCCCCCAGGGCAGGGCCCTGCCTCCCCCTCAAATCCCCAGGGCAGGGCCATATCCCATCCCCTCCAGGCCTCCTGACCTGGGAAGGGGGCCGGCACGTGCAGGACCTGGGCCATCCTCTTGTCTGCAGACGCTCCTTTGAAGTCACTTAGGGGACTGAGTCAGACGGCCTGCAGCACTGGCTGAGGCTCACCTGGGAAAGATGACAGCAGGGAGTTAGGAGGAGGCCACAGGGGGAGGGGAAGGGAGGCATGTGGCCACCCCCACCCTGCACGGAGCTGCCCCCTACCCAGCCCCCCTGCACCCTCACTCCTGGGACAACAGTCTCCCACCCAGGTCCGGGACCCTCTCACAGGCGCATGCATGCCTGGCCTCGGTAAAGGGTAGGGGGGCTGCGGTCTGGAACAAAGAAACCAAACCTCGTCTGCCCGCCTGCACATCTGTCCAGCCCCTGGACAGGCTCCAGCTGTTCCCACAGCCCCGCCTCCATGACGCTCCCGGGCTGGGGGGCCCCAAGCCTGCCAGGCCCCACCCTTCCTGCACCCCCTCCCCCGGACCCTCAGCCCAGTCCCAGGCTGGCCATGGGATAGACGGGGGCTGAGGTCGGAGGGGGAGTGGGGTGCTAATAGGGAACAGCCCTCCTGCAAGAATCCCAGGAAACAGAGACAAAAAGAGATAGAGCATCAAGAGACCCCAAAGCAGAGCCGAGTCAGGCCAGGCCTGGGGGTGTTGGTAGGGAAAATGGGGGGAGGCAGCGAGGAGCGAAGCCTTTCCCCTTTATGGAAACAATTTTCTCTAAAAATAAACAGTTTCGCTGCCAGGCTACTCGAGAACTTCCTGCCCCCCCAGGACATGTCCGGGCTCGGGGTGCAGCGGGGATAGAGGCTGGGCGGCCCGGGAAGTCATGGGAATAGGGGGAGGAAGTGAGAGGGGGTGCCCGGAGGCTGCAAAAGGGAGGGACAATCAGGGCCTCTCACTAACCCACCCTGGGCCCTGGAGGGCAGCCAGGGATCTCTGGTCCCCAACACCCTCCGCCGGAGCTCAGCCAGTCCTTTCTGCTGTCTGACCTCCAGCCGCCCTGCTGCAGAGGCCCTGGCCCATCTGGCCTCCAGAGGGGGTTCTTTCAGGCCTGTGGGAGCCACGGCAGCGTGTACCTGGGAGGATAGGCCAGGCGGGGCACCTGTTGGGCATGAAGGCGGCTGGGACTCCAGGGGTGGCCGGCCCGTCCTCACACTTTCTGCATCTCTTGCTTAGTGACTGGGTCTCTCTCCACGTCTTTCCACGTCTCTGTCCCTCTGTTTCTCTCCACGTCCCTGTTTCTCTGTGTCTCTCTCCACGTCTCTCTCCCTGTCTCTCCACGTTTCTGTCCTCACTTCTCTATCTTTCAACGCCTGGAAAACACAGTCGCTGATTGTAGGAAACTTGGTTTCTCCTCTGTCCAGAGGCTCATCCCCAGTATCAAACTCCTTTTTGGAGGAAGAAGCAACAGACCCAAACCAAATCTGCTCCTGTCGAATCAGTTCCGACTCATAGCGACCCCCTAGGACAGAGTAGAACTGTCCCATAGGGTTTCCAAGGAGCGGCTGGTGGATTCAAACTACCAACTGTTTGGTTAGCAGCCAAGTTCTTAACCACTGCGCCACCAGGGCTCCGTAAGCAATAGGAAGGTGATCAAAAATTTTCTCTGGGGACCTAAGAGAGAGGCAGGATGGAATAGGCTGGAGGGCTACTAGAGGTAGGCAGAGGTGGGGTGAATAGTGTTAATAACTATAATAACCAGGCAACTCATTTAACCATCACCAACCCCACGAGGATAGAGTCCCTGGGTGGCACAAAGGGTTAATCGGTCCACGACTAGCTGAAAGGTTGGCAGTTGGTTTGAACCCAGCCAGAGGAGTCTTGGAAGACAGGCCTGGCAATCTCCTTTCAAAAGGTCACAGCCTTGAAAACCTTATGGAGCACTTCTACTCTACACACATGGGCTGCCATGAGTCAAAATCAACTCAAGGGCAACTAACAGCAACAACAACAACCCCACGAGGTGGGTACTGTTATCATCCTGTTTTACAGATGGGGAATCTGGGACACAGAGGTGAAGTAACTTGCCCAAGATCACTCAGAGGGTAAGTGGCTGGGCTTGGACTTTTGCACGTAAACCTACCCGATTCCCCCTCACTGCCTGCCAAGCCACTCCCTAAACTTCATTCCCTTCTACCCACTTCCCAGACATGGAGACTGAGGTCTAGGGGTCTCCACTAGTCAGAGTTTCCCTCCCATGCGGGCCTGCGACTCATAGTCTAGAGGAACAGAAACCAGATGTGGGGTGTGTGCGTGTGGGGGTCTCTGCGGCTGAAACTCCTCCCATGATGGGACCCTTGGGTGGTGTATGGGGAGATGGAGAGGCAGGGAGACAGGAGACTTCAAGAGGGTTGAGCGGGGCCTCAGGGAAGAGGCACGGGGTCCGAGGAAGTCCTGAATGTCACTCAGGGTATCTCCAAAGACCCCCCTCCCCAACACCAGCTGAGACGCCTCTGGGGTCTTCCCGCCCCTCCCCCGACCCTGAGACTGGGGAGAGGAGGACCCCGCCCCATGCAGGGAGGGGCGGGGCCCGCGGGGTCCCCCGGCTAATGGCAAACAGCTGCCGCTCCCCACGCCGGCCCAGCCACCAGGCCGAGGCCCAGGCAGACCGGACGCCCAGCCGCCTTCCCGCCGCCAGGGGCCTGGCTCTGACGGCCGCGGAGAGAAGAGAGGGGCTACGGAGCGGAGACAGAGGCAGCGGGAGGGACAGAGATGGGGGAGAAGGGGGCAGGGGAGGCAGCGATGGAGAGAGGGGCAGGGCTGGAGGAACAGATGGAGGGGGCCGGAGGGACAGCGCGGCAGGGACAAGGTCCTAGATGGGGAGGGGGCAGAGACGCCGGGACCGGGACACTGAAGTCCGGAAAGTTTGCGCATAGATTGCGGAGTTGGAGGCAGCGGCTCGGCGAGCCCGGCAAGGTCGTGCCCTGGAGTTGGGGGTGGGCAACCAAATTCGAACCCCGACCCAGACTCGAACCCCGACCCAGACCCGGGTCCTACTCGCCTCGCGCGCTCCAGCCGCCGCGGTCCCTGTGTCCCGCCGCCCCGCGTCCTCCGCGCGCCGTCGCCCGGCCGTCAGTCCCTCGCGATAGCCCCGCCCAGCCCCTCCGCCCGGCCCCGCCCCCGACTGCTGGGCCGCCGAGTCCGCTGGAGGGGCTGCGCTCACCTGGGCAGCATTTGTGAGCGCGCGTGGGGGACTGGCCTCACCTCCCCGAGTCCCGGGGTCAGGCTCGTCCCACCCCAGCCTCCTCCGCCCTCTGCAGCCGGGCCGCCGCGGGGGGTGGGGTGGAGGCGGGGCTGGCCGGGGCCCAGCTCACAGCGGGCGGCCGCTGAGGCGGCTGGAGGTCACCCACCCCTCCCCCAGCCGGCCCAGCTGGAAGCGGCCCAGCGCAGGCCTGATACATGGTGGCGTGACCGCCGCCCGGGCGGGAGACGGTTCAGTGCTGCACAGGCAATAGCTAAGGCCTGGCTCCAAAGCCAGCCCCACCAAGCGTGTACTTCTCTGTGCCTCGGTTTCCCCATCTGTAAAATAGGATAATGATACCACTGTCTACTGAATAAGGAGACCTGGTGGCTTAGTGGTTAAGTGCTGGATTGCTAACCAAACCCACCAGCCGCTCCGCGGGAGAAAGATGTGGCAGTTGGATGCTTAAAGCCTTGGAAACCCCGTGGAGCAGTTCTACTCTGTTCTATAAGTTCGAAATGGACTCCACAGCAATGGGTTTGGTTTTTTGGTTTACCTGATAAGGCTGTTGAGAAGATCCAGTAACCATTCAGCAGGGGGCCTAACGGAAGTCCCTCAGGCAAAGGACTCATGATGGGGCCAGTCAGAACTGGGTCCAAACTACTTCTGTAGAAATCCTTGAAGCAGGGCCCTACCTTACTACGATTCTGGGAACCATTTAGTTCAGGTCCTGGGTGGTGCAAATGGTTTGCTCTCACAAAGACTGGTGATTTGAATCCACCCGGGGATGGACACAGAGGGCTTAATAAATGTCACTTATTCCTGGTGGGTGGGCATGTGACATTGTTATTCGTGTGGTGCCTCCCCCACAAGAGTGTCAGCTCCACAGGGACAGGAATCTTTGGTGTTATCACCTGTGTCCCCAGCACCTAGAACAGGGCCCAGCACCCAGGAGGTTCTCACTGTTGGTCAGTCACTGATGCAGGGTATGTGGACGTGAGCAGTATACTGTGCACACATGGCCCCAGCCCCCAGTGACCACACCACACGGGTTGCTTATAAAAACCATTTTAAATTAAAAAAGGTGAGAAGCATCAGTGCACACAGATGGGGACAGACAGAGGGCCCAGCCCCGCCTGCTCCGTGCCACCCCCAGGTGGAGTGGGCAGTGAGGAGATTCCTGGGGAGGCAAGGATGGCTGAGGCCAGGGTGCTGGTTCCTTTGGATGTAGCTTCAGGCCCTGTGGGCTCAGAGGTCTGCCTTACGGAAACTAGTTCTGTTCAAGGAGTTCCTGGGGACAAAAGGGGTGGGTCAGCATGGGCACCAGCCTACCAACTTCATAATGCTCCCAGCATGCTACCTCCCGCTCCTTCAAGGATCCTTCCAGGTACAGTGTCCCCTGCCCCTTTCACATCTATCCCGATCTACATTATCTCTTGGAATACACCATGGGAGGTATGAATCGTCCCCATTTCACAGATATGGAAACTGAGGTTCCATATCCAGGAAGTGACCCAGTTGGGATCTGAAATGGCTACATTTGTACATACGGACGTATTCACATTCTTGGGCAAAGATGCAAGCGCGTGTGTTTACGTGTACCACAGCCTGTCTCCTCTTGCCCTCCCTAAGATGGGGGCCAGGGCCAGGCACCTGAGGGCGGGTGCCGCTGGTGCCAGCAGCTGGGGCAAGCGCTGCGTGAGCAAGGGCTGTAGTGCCTCCCGCAAGCGGCAGTAGTTGCGCTCCAGCTCTCGATGGTACTCTTTCTGATCTGGCCCGATCAAGGCCTTGTTCTTCCGTAGCGCATCCTCACACCTGCCAACCAGAAGAGAAAGTGAGACTGGAGGGGGCACATCC